GACACACATTCAGATACACACAGATATACAGACGCAGATAGCTACACATACAGACATATGCACATACTGACACATAGAAAGATATACAGACACACATGCACTCAGACACATACATAGACACACATACAGGCAAAATATATACATATTTTAAGCCACCCTCAAGTTTCCTACCTTTTGGGTGCAGGAGGGTGGCATCCCTGTGATCCAGTCGAATGTCTTATGCTGTTGGGAGTCTGATGATCCCCCACTCTGCTCAACCTCCTCTCGGCAATCCTCCCCTGTGTCTCAGTGTCATCTGGGAAGAAGTGACGGTCAGTGCATGTTTCAGAGTATGTAGGACCACGCTTGTGCTATTAAAGGGTCACAGTGCACCTTGCCTTCTGGGAACACATAGGTCATCCAAGTGTGTGGGCCCCGGTGAATCTACACTGACCACACTGCGGGTAGTTCCGCCACTGCATTAGACCTTTTTTACAGGAAAGAGCCTCTAGTGGCTGTCTGCAACATGTGATTTGTGCTCAAGTCTACTATTTTTCATTCTCTGAAATGTGTAGCTAATTTACTAAATGTGGGGATTGTTTCACTCTTTCCTAAAAAGACCAGTCAGCTCCCATTACGATTACTTAACTATATTGTACATGTGGGCGCCTCCATCTTAGATCCCGGTCAGTCATTGTTATAAGCTACAACCAATGCACCTGGCCGCTTGTTTGTTGATCTCATGGGTACTTTTTGGAAAATCTCTATAGGATTTCTGGGATTTCTACCTCTTGGTTACCTTATTTCTGTTTTATTTGCCTCCACTCTCACGCATAAATGCTTCAAATGTTTTTGTTTTTGAATTGATCAAAAAAATCTTAAATAAAGATTGACTAAAAGAATGAAACAATGGGGAATATTTATCAAAGTGTTCTAAAACAACACTTTGATACATGTCCCCCAATGTTTTAATAATTTTTCTGAACTTGCATAGTTTGCCATTTCCGTGCCTGGACTGAAGTGTAGTATGATGTCATTTTAAAAATCTTTAATACAAAATGTAAAACAAGGTGCAGCAAGTGCAATAAAGTTAACAAAAGTTATAGCTGATTTTCAATGTATTATTCAATGGTGCAAATTTGAGAAAAATTACAATTGCACTGATAGTAAAAGTCCTCTCATGAAGGGGAAAATTATTACATATTCCTCCATTTCTCTCCACATGTGAGATTTAAGGCAGTGATGTATTTAACTTATCTGCTGCCTTAGATCCTGTCAATATTAGGCACCTTCTTGACTGTGACTACCTATATAGTATATATGCACCCAACTTGCAGGGGTTAACTCAAACTGGACTCCTTTTTCCTGGAGACACACCTTGGGTGTGGAGCTGTGGAGTGTTTTAAGCAATACTATAGTTAAAGATACAAATATCTTATGTGTAAGAACTGTATACAAGTCTATAAACTTGTCTGTTTCACCATGCAGTTACAGGTTTTTGTACAGTGACCTCTACTGGTGGAATCCAGAACTATATGTATAATAGAGTTTAGCTGCAGGGAACTCTAGTGGTGGAACTGGCTGGGTGGTGGTGGGTTAGTATTTTCAGTATTTAAATTAGGGTTATTGCCAGTTTATATTTTTTATTTTTGTGTGGTACATAAGAAAGTAGTGTCTGAAAATGGACAGTCTCATGAAGATCACAGAGACTAACCAACGTTTTTTTTTTTAAGTCTGACCCAAGGTGCATGGATATGGCTGAAGGATCCGGTCCTATAATTATAATAACTAAATGTATAATAAATATAGGAATGAGAATTTCAAATTTCTTTTTGTCATATTTCATTTTTTTTCTTCAGCATAAAAGCAAACGAATGCATCAATAAACACAAGCATGGATAAAATAAGATAACTGTTGTTCTGACTGGTGTGTGTGTTAGATAGGAAACAGTAGCCATGTAAGAGCCTGCAGGGCAAGTGTAGGGTTAGGGACAAAAAACACAGCAACAGCCAATAGCTGGGGATATTTCGGTGTATGCCTTTATTGGCCTCAAAATCATGGTGTGTGGTAGGTAGACTAGAAATTAAATGGAAAAAAAAATAAATACAAAAAGTCAGGTGACTGCCACCCTAGAAACTCCACTGGATACTGGAATGAATGGGACGACAGGAGCTGGGTCCCAAACTGTGGTTGTGGGTGGAGAGGTGAGGCTTAAGCCTAAAGCAGCCAGGACAGCATCCACAGTACGCCCTAAGCTCTGCAGCATGGTGCTGGATAAGAAGCAATCGCAGTGAACGGCATCTGTATTTCAATCCCTTAGTTGCCAGAGTAGACGTCAGGGGTCGCATAGTCTTCCTCCACTGCAGGTTTTTTTGGGAGATATCCGTGAAGGAAGAGAGTTCCATGTCCTCAAAACAGTAAGGGGTCTACCCTGCGTTCATGAAAGCAGTTTTTTCTTGCCCATTTTGAAATGTAGTCAGCTCACTTGTGGCTGTAGCTTTGGTCAGCTGTGAAACATCCCATCCAGAAATTTATCTTTTGGTTGTTTTGGGGGCAGTAAGGCCGCAAACAGCCTGCAGAGAACATTTAGCAGTTCTGCCGAGGTAACATCATACAGACCACTGATTTTCACAAGCTTCAATTGCATTGTTTCCTCCAGGGCTGCCAATTGGTGTGTTTATCGTGGCTTGGGCCAAAGAAAGATCAATGACCCATTTCTGGAGCTCTGCGACTTGAGCAATATATGTTTCAGAGGTCTGTTCCACATCTGTGAGGCGTGCAGTAAACTCCCTACACTCCTCCCCGACTTGGGAGATTTCAGCTTAGAGATTCTGACAGAATTCCATCAGGAGATTAGTGAGTATCTCTTTGTTAACTGGAGGAAATGGTCTCGCAGTTGGCTGTGGGGGCTTGGGTGGTTACCTATAGTCAAGATTTTCTGTGTTGTGGAGGGGAAGGTCCTCAGAGAGATCAGAGAAATTATCTACGTTGGCCGCCATATCAGGCCTAACCTCGCTATGTGGCCACTGCAGTAAATCTCCAATATCAGTGGTAAACCAGTGCCAACCAGGCTGCGGCTTTTTCATTTTCGCCCCATCGTGTTAGGAGCATGTTCCCACCTTTGGCTCTGCAAGAGATACCCTTGTGGAGCTCAGAATCTAACACTTTGGTGCTGCAATGGACCGGCGTCTATTTGGGCTGAGAGCTAGCTCAGACCCCATAATTTTTTTTTATATCTATTTTGTTTCAAAACTTGGTGAAAGGGTGATTATAGTAAAAATACATAATTGAGGTGACAGTTGTCAAGCAAAATTCCATTAACAACCTAATAATCCCACAATTCACAAATCCAAATAATCCCATGGAAGACCAAACTGCAGACTTAATTGGCAGAGGTAAACAAAATTGCAACAACAGATTATTGATATCTAGACAAAGAAAAGATAAATATAAATAAAGGCAAGTGGCAAGGGTGGGGTATAATCATAAAACATAGAGCACACTGAAGGAAAGGTACAATGAAGAAAAAAAAAAATAACAGGACAGAACGATGTTAAGGACCTGCTCGGCACCCTGGCAGAGGAGACCTGTTCTCAAAGCTCTCTCTCCTTGGTCTGTGAGCAGGGTTTTTACCGACCTGGGAGAACAAATGGGCAGAGTGGACACTTATGAAGTAAAAGTGATGACAGAGTCACCGCTACCAGTGTTAAAATGGTGTTTTTACCCGTTCCCCCTCCCAGTGTCAGTCTCCTCTGTGAAGCCCCACCTCTTTGACTGAAATTATTGAGATCAATGGTCTTAGCTAGCCCAATCCTTTCCCATAGGATGGCTTTCAGCTACATATTTAAAAAAGGAGGGGACTCAAACCACTTCATTGAGATGTAGTACTAGTCAAGGGTGCCTATACAGTTTCTTTGTGATGAAGTCTGGTCTGGTCACACTGACAACGATGCAGAACACTTAAAAAAATTCCCCCAAAAGAGTTCACAATTACATTAATTTTCTTCCCCTTCAGAAGCAGCACCTTTAACACAGATGAGCACTCTGATTTTAAACCAGAGATATCGCAGGTCAGACCGGGTAAGCCTCAGCCCACCAGCGGGAATCATAGCCGACCATCTGGAACTATAGGTTGTATCAGACGGTACAACTTCAATTAAGCAATGCTTGGCTACCAACTCAGCAAAGCACTAATTTAAGAAGTAGAAGAGGTGATGAGCTATCAAACAATGCCAAGAACCCTGGGGACCTTCCTTCAAAAGAGCCCCGGGTACTTGCTACTCTTGACCGGCACCTACCCAACGGCAGCACCTACCCAACGGCAGTGTGTCGAACCAGAAGTTAGCTGCGGCCCAGTCAAACTTTACTAGGTAATTGCTCAGGCTGGGTGCCTCCTAATCTGGCACTTTTTGAACGTTGGGACTGGCCCTATCCAGAGATTTATAATATGTCAATGTTACTTATGGGGAACATGTTTTGGGGATACCATTGTAAGGGGATACCATTGTCGGCTGATACTTGGGGGTAATACTATAGTCATTCTACTATCCTGCACCAGAGAAAGGGCTAGTTTGGCAGAGTTACACAGTTGCAGTACAGGAGCTCTGTCATACCCTCCTAACTGTTCCTAGGTAAAGAAAGAGGGAAAAAAATTAAAAAGAGAGTTACCAACCCTTTTCTTAATTGAAACCATGGCAGCCATGCATTGAAAAGGAGATTTCTATAAAAACTTTTTCCTGACGAAAACAAACATCTATAATTGTAAATTGGTGTAGTGATTTTAGGAATTTTACATTTTTGGAAAGTAAAGAGAGGTTTGTTAATTCTGCAATAGTTGGATCAAAAAAAAAAAAAAGTTTGTAAAGAAAATCTTTCACGAAGACAGTCTATTAAGATGCCTATCTGATTTCTAGGTGTGTACAAAATTAAAAGCGGTTTTAAAAATAAAATGAAAAAAGTACTAGTGAGTGTGTCCTTTTAATTTACAGATTAGATTTACTTAGACTAAATGAACGACAAACATATTTAACAAATATATTTATTGCCATTAATCCAAAAGACATAACAGATAAATAATGATTGCAGAGAATATTTTTAAAGACAGCCATCTTTCAAAACAGCAGCCCAGTTAAGTAAAGGTGTGTTTCTGAGAGAATTATTTTGTGGCTAGGTCGTCTTAAGAACCAGCAAATGCTTGAATGAGTCTGATGAACTTTAACTCTTGAAGGCAGGTATCCCCTGTCACCAAGTCCTCATTAACCTTTAGCCTACTCCATAAGGTGAATTGCTGTACCTGAGCTTTCTTGCAGCACTGGATGCAGAAGTGGACCCTGCTCTGTAGTGGTGCCTGTCATCATAAACAATGCTCTAAGAGAAAATTTTTATTTTAAATGCCAATACAGACAATTGTGTCACTGTAATGATATCCAACCTGTATTATTACAAAGAGGGTTGGGTCCTCCAAACTTGAGATTTAGAAAGGGCCCATAAAGATCTTTTCATTTCAGTCCATCCAATTTACGATCTTTATGGGCACTACATCCACTCTTAATATGAATGAATATTCCAGTGCGTCCTCTTTTCAGACATGCTCTACTTGTAAATTCTTTAGATAACTCTGATCAGAGCATAGTCCGAGACCTTACTTTACCCATTTTATTTTAACAAGCAACAGCTCTGGTTCTACCATTTTCTGTGTCTCTTGGTAAGCACATGGAATACAGCTCCAAAAACAATACAACACAACAAGGCCCCTAACCACAATACTTTAAACCTTTACTTTGTGTTGGTCATGTATCCCTTCATTACAGATCGTGTGACCAAACCATTTCATTATTTTTGGTACCTTATGGTAAACATGCAACCAGAACATTGCGACATCCACTCGACAACATTAATAGGAGGGCAGACACACTTTGAAGAAATATATTATTTATAAAAGACCCAACATAGTCTATAGGCTGTACAAACAAGAATCTTAAACACTTTAAACTCTAGTTCCCACCATTGACATTTGCAAAGGAAGTGCCAAGAGCACTTGTGATACCCCCACAATAGAATCTCTATTGCAGCTCTATAGTTAAACCAGTGGTGTCTAAGTGCATTAGCACAGATCAGATACACCACCATAAATACCTGAGTGAATGTTTTTAAAATCACCCGTGCTCAGAAAACAGTAAAATTTATATTATGAAGGTATTTTTATTGCATTTTACAAAAGCAATAAAATTATGCCCCCTTCATACATTTGTACAATTAAACAAGTGTATGATTCAGGCATGTATAACTATCAAGTGTACCTTTAGGAAGTAGGTGGACATATCATCCTTCGGTCCTACTTATCTATCCTAGTGTTCCTGTTTGCCACCTTAGTGTCCTACTTTCTCCAGAGCTCAGGAATATTGATGTGTATAATTAAATCAAAAAGCTCAACAATTTAATTTAAAGGCATTCAAAAATTAGTGTGTGTAAATAAAATACAATAGTATGTGATGTCTATGTACAGGTTATGAAATGATCTAAAACTGTGGTTCTCAAACCAGTACTCACGTCCCACCAACAATCCAGGATTTATTTATTTCCCTTTTTTTTATTACAATAGAGATAATGACAAAACCTGGACTGTTGGTGGGTCGTGAAGATGGTTTGGGAACCACTGATCTAAAATGTTTGGAACTGCTACTCCCCTGGCAATAACTACTTAACCACATTTGGCCTAATTATATGTTAGAAAATGCGGGCATATATGTATGCATATTATTTATATACACATACACACAATGTATTATACATACAAGCACACACATACCACCTTTTGCCAAAAAAACAAAACACAATATAAATTTAAAATGAATGATTTAAAATAATAAATCACCATTTTCCCATTTCTTAAATTCCAATTATAATTAGTTTAGTCTAACGAGTTAATTTAAATTAACATTCAAAATATTACAGTATCTTCAAAAATATCTGTACAATTATTTTCCTAGTCTAATGTCCGAAAAGGTCAATGACCCTGAGGATTTGATTAAGAACCTTCAAGTGCAAATGAATCCCCATAAGACATCTAGTGAAAAATCACTGCAGTTAGAATTCTCTACATTTTCATCAGAGTGATTTAGAATTATCCTGTGACTGGCTACAATACTGTGTCCATAAAAACGTTAAGAAACAAGTTGAACGTTCCTCTAACTGCAAACACAGATGTAGCAGCTGTAATTGGAGGACTAGATTCCTATAGTCCTATGTTTCAAGTTTGGCAATTTTACTCAGTAGCACAAAATCCCATTTTCATAGTGGCAAACGAAGAATTCCAAAACAACCATTAACCAATAGGAAAGAGTAGACAATGGAATAGCTATTTCCCACCTAAAAGAAAATGTATATATAAAAAAGAAAAAAATATTAAGTTAGTTTCAAAGAATATTCTCAATGGTATACATTTATATAGATCACAAGTAGACAATGTAATATTCAAATGTAAGACATATCTTAAAGGGACAATATAGTCACCAGAACAACTATTGCTTAATGTAGCTCTTCTGGTGAGTTTAGACTGGCCCTGCAGGCATTTTCCAGTAAACACTGTCTTTTCAGAGAAAACACAGTGTTTACATTAAAACCTAGAGACACCTCCAGTGGCCACAGGATGTGCTTCCTGGGGCAGTGCTGCATGGAAACACTGAACTTTACTCAGATGTATTGATTCAATGTTCCCCTCTCCAGCCTCCCTCCTTGGTGGAGAGCATCAAAATTGACAAGCTCAGCCAATCCAATGCTTACCTATGGGAAAGTATTTTGATTGGCTGATAATAGAACTTCTGATGATGCCAAGCAATGAGGCAGTTAGGGGCAGAGCCAGAGGAATAAAGGCAATATTTTACTATATTTAGGAGGTCAAGGGGAGCCCCAATAGGGTTTTTAACACTATAGGGTCAGGAATAGAGGTTTGTGTTCCTGACCCTATAGCGTTTCTTTAACTGAATATGAAGAATTTAAGTAAATATGAAGAATCTAAGAAGAATTTTCCATTTATCTTATAAAGAAAGGTTCTAATCTAAGAGGAAATTAACATATGTCTAGTGAAAAATATTGATTTTAAAATAAGTTTTAGATGCTCATCATAAGTACAATTATTTGCAAACATAATTTGACTCTCCACAACATATCTGAGATGCAAAGCTATACACCTTGTGAATAACTTGTGCAGGTTCTCTCATGCTAGCAAGCAGAAAAAAGATGTAAATTGAAAAATTCCACAGCTTCCATCTTGAATTTACTAAATGAGAACATTTCCATAAAAAAACAAAACACAACTAATGACGAAATGTCACATAAATGACTGATAGCAACGACATTATCTGTGGACAAACATGGCAGTATTGACCTCATGTAAAGCCCTCTGAAACAACTTGGTTCTAGGCAGCCCTGGATGTTCATGTTAGTTGCCTGTACACAGATTCTAAGGGTCCCTGGTTCTCCCCCCCCCCCCCAAAAGACATTGTGTTAATTTGATAAATGCGTTAAAATCTTGATGAAATGATTTTGGTGCAGTGATCCTGCCGATTCACTCCCACAATGTAAAAAACATGTTTACATTGCATGGCTAAACACACTTCTAGTGACTTTCACCCGAACACCCATTAGATTGTGCTCCAGTGTACAGAAACAGCTAAAACTCATTCTTGACATTCAATGCTATCAATACATCGCATAAGAATGTTGAACATTCAGTGCTTCTCTGTGAGAAGCATTTTATTGGAAAAATGTAATCAAGTCGGATGACATTAGCATAGGAGAATGAGCATAAAAAGACTGTACTGGATTACAGGTGAGTAAAAGGTTATTTTACATGTAACTTTTTTTTTTCTTTTTTAAATATAAAAAAGATGGCCCTGAAATTTAAATGAACCAACACACACTTAGGCCTAAAAATGAGTAAAGACAGTTTTAACATTATAGTGTTCCTTTAACCAAACATTGCAGACATGAAAACATCTAAACACAAAACACCATTTAAACATATACAACAACTTAAAATGTATGTGCATGTGTCTGCTGGTAATGTATTAGGTTTCAGTCTGTGCATATGCAGCTGTGTAACTGCATTTAGTGTAAAGATGATATTAAAGGGACACTGTAGGCATCCCGACCACTTCAGCTCATTGAAGTGGTCTGGGTGCTGTGTCCCTATTGCATTTAGTGCTGCAATGTAAGCACTGAGGTTCCAGAGAACTGCAATGTTTACATTGCAGCTCTAAGTCTGCCCACAGTGGCTGTCTACCAGACAGCAACTTGGGGTAATTCCGGAACCAAAGCGGACCTTTGGTCCATAATCTGATGCAAGAGGACCTCCAGCGCCAGATTTTCCCCATATGAAAGCATGTAATAATGCTTTCCTATGGAGAAATCTAAAGCATGCGCGGCCATTGCGGTGCATGCGCATTAGGTCTCCCTGCCGGCTGATGTCAGCAGGGGAGAAGCATGGGTGGAGACTGACCAAGTGCTTCAGGTAAGTGGCTGAAGGGATTTTTACCTGAAGAAGGGGTGGCTGAGGGGGATCTTTCAAACCCACAGTGCCAGGAAAAAGGCTTTGTTTCCTGGCACTTTAGGATCCCTTTCATTCATTTTAGTGGTTAGGGTGAAGGGGCTGGAGTTAAACTTTGAGAGGGCTAAACATCCTATTTTTCCATTACATAACATATTTAGTGTCAAGATTCTTAAACGCTTGGGATGGATTACACTTGTGGTATAAGGGGTGCTTAAGATTATTGGGTTTAGGAATAATTTTAGTATTGGGGCACACATGTTTATTCTCTAAAGTGAAAATTTAAATTACATTCAAGTTTAAAGTCAAAATAGCCAAACTGGAAAAAATCTCAAAGGCATATATGCTCTAATTTCAGCTTCTCTGGTCTTATATTTTAATTCACTCTAAACTCTCACTTTAGTAAATAACAATAGTTAAGAGGATTTAAACCTAGGATTGAGGCATTTTTTCTAGATTTAGTCTTTGAGTGCTTACATTTGGAGAAAGTAAAAGGTTTGCTTAGGTTTTGGGCATGTTGAGTTAGAAATGTTAGTTGCAAAATACTGACCCTTTTGTCTTCTCTAGTCAAGTCATGCTGCTAGGACTGATTTTAGAACTGCAGAAGCTGTTATACAGAGTGCATCACTCAATGTGCTCCAGTATATACAGTATTTAGTAATGCTCCTCCTGCAAGGTATTTCCTGTGTGAGAGGCTGCTGGGGGCAGATAGATAGTGATCTGTACCACTGCCTGTCAAGCTACACACACACAGACACTGAAGGAGCTGGGACAGCACGGAGCCGGAGGTGTGCATGCAGCACCTAGGAAGAGGTAGCATCTCATAATCCTTCCTGGCTGTGGTCTTGCAACAGGGGTTGTGACTGGGTCCTCACGCCGCCAAGTTTGTTAGTAGCATGAAGGCTGACTTCGCGAATCAAGCCCATTACAAAGCATTGACACTTAGATACTGTAAACATAATGTTGCAGAGAATGTGTTTATTTTTATTTACATTTAAGTTTCTTCCCTTTGAAATGAAATCTGGCCATCTAAGAGCAAGTGCTGAAATAATATAATTGTTTTAACTTCTATCCTAATTATGTCAGACATACATTTATGTAAGATTATATGGTTTTCTAATCAAAAACTTATGAGTCCATCCACAGTAGATATGAGAGACAGACAGAAAAAACTATATTGTAATAAAACTGAACATAAACTGGAAAAAGGTATTACAAAAAAAATGACAAAAGTGGTTGTGGTCATGCATTACTGGCCCTACATGGTGCACAGCGTGTCCATGTTAGCGATTACATCGATGAGTCTCTTGCCTGTGGTATAAACAGAGAAACCTACCATTGCAACTGATTTAATAATAATAAATTACATGAAGACATTTATCTTCAACCATGTCAATTAAGGCAACTTTTTTCCCTTTTTTTGATTTTCCCATAAAATAAGTTTTTTTTACATAATTACTTGGCAAAACAGGTTTATTTCTAAAAATGCCACATTATCAAATATTTCACATGATATAACAGTAATTTATGCCTTGCTGAAGAATTACGTCTATCTTCTGTCCATACTCCCACCTCTGATGCTCGCCTTTAAGGCTTCTCTAGGGCTGCACCGTTCCTGTGGAACTCACTTCCCTCCTCCATTAGATGCTCACCCAGTCTCCACTCCTTCAAAAAATCATTAAAAACCCACTTCTTCATAAAAGCGTATCCATTAAACTGTTAATAGCTCCCGACTGATTCCTCTCTTGCAACTGTCACTAGTCTAATACTATCCTTACCTTTTTGTGTCATTTTACCCCACTCCCTCTAGCATGTAAGCTCATTGAGCAGGGCCCTCAACCCCTCTGTTCCTGTGTGTCCAACTTGTCTGGTTACAACTATATGTCTGTTCGTCCACCCACTGTTAAGCGTTACGGAATTTGTTGGCGCTATATAAATAATAACAATAATAATAATGATCATATAATGTAACTAAACCCCCAATTTTGCTTAAGTTAGGTGTTTAAAAACAAAACAAAACAAAAAAACTTAAATTATGTGAGCTTTAAAGTTGGTGTTTAGTGAGTGTGTGCGCTGGATCTTGTAGAAGAGTATGAGATGTAGATAGATAGATAGATAAACGTTAGGTAGTCTTATTCTGAATTAATTACAAAACCAGACATCAATAAGTCTTCAAATTGTTTGAATACTGACAGTGCTCATGCTTTTAACCCCTTCTGACCGGAGGGCGTACAATTACGCTCTATTTTAGGCGGCTCTAAACGCCGCCGGGCGTAATTGTACGTCCTCCGGTTTTTGCCTACTTACCTGGTCGCCGGCGGTCCCACGCTGGCAATCGTGGTGGGGGGGACTCCCAGGGAGCCCCCCCACGGTAGATCCTCCTCCTCCGGTGACCCCCGGCCATGTGAGAGTGAGGTCCTTGCGAGGACCCCACAATCACATAGCCAGGTAGGCTGCCTCCTTCATTGCCAGCAGGGGGGCTGCCTGTAATGACAGGTGGTCCCCCTGCTGGCTGAAAATAAAATTAAAATAAAATGTATTAGTGTAAAAAAAAAATTATATATATATATATATATATATATTATATATATATATATATATCAAATTACACGTAGACTGATACTGATTAAATATATATATATATATATAAATATAATATAAAAAAAAAATATGTAAATAAGTTAAAAAATAAAATTAAAAAAATAATTAAAAAAATAATTAAATATATAGATGTGTGTTATTTCGTTCTAACTGTATTGTGATAATATATATATTTATATCAAAATACACGTAGAACGAAATAATATATATATCTACATACTAAATATATACGTATATATCACTATATATATACCTATATATAAATAAAAATATTTAAAAAAAATTATATATAGATATACACATATAGATTCACATACGTATATATATATATATATATATATACATATATTAATTCTACATATATATTTATGTAATATTTTTACATTATTAGGTATCTTAATTAATTACAATTAGAGGGACCTGCCTGACAACCCATGCCGAAAGTAAAGGGAATTTAATTGGCTAGCAATATATTTAACCCTATAACATTCTAAGACACGATAAAACCTGTACATGGGGGATACTGTTCTACTCGAGAGACTTCGCTGAACACAAATATTAGTGTTTCAAAACAGTAAAATGTATTACAACGATGATATCGCCAGTAAAAGTGACGTTTTTTGCATTTTTCATGCACAAACAGCACTTACACGGACGATATTATTGCTGTGATACTTTTTACTGTTTTGAAAACACAAATATTTGTGTTCAGCGAAGTCTCCCGAGTACAACTGTACCCCTCATGTACAGGTTTTATGGTGTTTTCAAAAGTTACAGCGTCAAATATAAGGCTTGCGTTTCATTTTTTTCACATTAAAATTCGCCAGATTGGTTACGTTGCCTTTGAGACCTTATGGTAGCCCAAGAATGAAAATTACCCCTATGATGGCATACCATTTGCAATAGTAGACAACCCAAGGTATTGCAAACAGGGTATGTCCAGTCTTTTTTAGTAGCCACTTAGTCACAAACACTGGCCAAAATTGGCGGGGTTCTTTTGCATTTTTCACACAAACAAATACTAACGCTAACTTTGGCCACTAAAAAAGACTGGACATACCCCATTTGCAATACCTTGGGTTGTCTACTATGGCAAATGGTATGCCATTATGGGTGTAAATTTCATTCCTGGGCTACTATAAAGTCCCAAAGGCAACGTAACCAATCTGGCGAATTTCAATTTTAAATGTAACGTGCAATATTTGACCCTGTAACTTCCCAAAACGCCATAAAACCTGTACATAGGGGGTACTGTCTTACACGTGAGACTTTACTGAATACAAATATGTGTATTTTATTGCAGTAAAAGCAAACAGTATTATGACATTGACCGTTAAAATGTCATGTAGAACTAAAAATTTTTTAAAAAATCGTATTTTCTCCCATTTTTTTCATATTAAATTATGTTTCATAGCTAAATATTTGATATTAAATGAAAGCCCTGTTTCCCCTGAATAAAATGATATATAATAAGGGTGGGTGCATTTACTATGAAAGAGGTGTATTACGGTTGGACAGACGTGTAGCGCAAATGCCAGGTTTTGTTTACATTTTGTTTAGTTCACAACGTGTACATTTGGCTCCGTCCTTAAGGGGTTAAAGTAACCGCCTCTGTAAGAGCCATTTGCAGAGTTATTGGTGACAATGCTATGGTGCATAAACATACTAATATTCTGAAAAATAAGTAGATTATATAGAAATGCAACCATCGATATAATGCACCTTAGTACTTTAGGGCCTTGAGTCCCAAATAGACTTTCTGAGGCAATTTCCTTCAATCTACATTACTTCGGTCACAAATCCCAGGTAGTAACACTCCCTTCTGCATGCTGAAATCGGACAGCATTACAGACCAGCCCCCATAAGGCCAGACAGTTTCCATTTTTGGAGAAACTCTAAACTTGCTTATCTAAAATGCATCAAACGGGAGAGGAAAAAAAAATTGTGCGCAAACACGATGCACAGGTCTTCATGTACCGCTACCACTACTATAAAGGGGCAGACCATGGCAACTGGACCAGAAAGCCCTGAGGTCACTTTAGAACGAAAAACAATTCAATTAAGAATTTTGGTTTGGCTTAATTAGTAATTATCCATCCCTACATTTGTAAAGATAATAGTAATTAATATGCCCTGTTTGCCCACAGAGAACTTGGAGTTTCCATTAGAAGTAAATTGAATGTGAAGGACAACTTGCAAACCTGATTATAGCATTACCCAGCACCTGACTGCCATAAAAGAACTAAATTGTATTTCTGCACCACGGAATGTTGTACTTAATGACATCACCATTTGAATGCATTTTAGATCAGACCGTACTCTGTAGAACAGCACCCTCAAGTGACAAATTTGGTACTTTAGCCAAACATCTTTCTTCACATGTGGAAAATATAGTCTGCAATTTTTGTTACAGATAAGATCAGAACAATTGTCCTACCAAGATATATATATATATATATATATATATATATATATCCCCAAAAACTGCCAAGTGCAAAATGCAACCAAAAATGTTCTCAGAATGAAATGCTAGTTTTATACAGTTAAAATGATTGAAGAAAAAAAAAAAAGAAGTCTAATTATATAAATTGCCATTAAAAACACATTTATGTAAAAGCAGAGAGACTGTCATAAATGCTAAATAAAAGAATTAACTGACCTGCAATGTACTTTGCGCTGATTAACATTACCATGCTACTCACTATATAAAGCCCAAGAGGCAGACTAGAGAAGATACTCCAGTCACCTGCAGTCATCCAGCGGGAGAGGATTCCAGGAAAGCAAGACAGGGGGCGAGAAAAATATATACAAAAAAAAATAAAATAAAATAAAAAATTGGAATATGTGGGTTAAGAATCAACCATATGAACAGCAGGAAAAAATGATTACAAGCAATAACAGTGAAAGCAAGCAAAACAAAGGATACTGAACAGTTCAAATTACAGAAATTTGCAAATATACAACAAAAATAACAAGCAACAAATTGAAACTTCCAAGCTGGCATAGATTTCAGCAATGGGGATGGTACATTGGATTTCATTTGGCAAAAAATGCCATCAATGCTTTTTGTCCTTCTGCCATTTTCATGAATAATTTGTCATTTCGGATGATGGCAAAATATTAAAACTCATCACGCCCTAAATATAATTGCAACGATCCCTACTTGCCATTTTGTATAACAGCTAGGGACTGCTGTTCATGTCACAAAAAAAAACACCAAACAAAAAAAACAGCTGGTGGCATTTATTAAAATGTGATATTTTGGGCCAAGTATATATTTACTGGTTGACACATCATTGAGGACTTTTGACATGAAAATTAAGCGGCTCACTAAACTGGGAACAGACAAGGGAATTGCAAATTTTACTCCAAAATAGCAAGAGTTGGACAGGTTTCCCTATTGTGAATTAGAATTTTAAATTCCTTTGTAAATTCTCTCTAACTCCTGTAAATAAACTATGTAAGAAAAATAAAATAAAAAGTGAGATTTAAAAAAAGGGCATTCTTCACATTTTAAAGTCTGCTCAACTGGGCAGGAATAGTGCAATACAATATGTTGGTGTTTCAGTCCTAATGCTGGGCTTTCTTTAAGATATAGATCTGTATAATAGATATATACACTTGCGATGACTCGCAAAAATTCACTTCTTTCAAGCGTGTAGTGGAACCTCCAGGCTTGCATTGGTGAATGCATTTTAAGGCCTGGCTAGTAATATGGGACTTGATTTTTAGAATATGTATCTATATATTGAACATTTATTTCTCAATTACTATTCTTAAAAAATAAAATAAAAAAATAAATAAAAAAAATGGCTGGAAAAGAAAAAGCGGGTTAATTTGCAGTAGATGTTTGTTGTATAGATGTCTTTTTCAGGTGAACTTATGAACTTCTATTAAAACAATTGATCTGATTTGCTATCATTTTTTTTCTTTGATTCCATAAACAATTACAAAGTAATTCATCACACAGTAATATTGAGTTCTTTTCAATACATGCTTGAGTACAGTCCAATAAACTGGATATCGGAAAGATATAATTGGCTATTAAAATTGAATTCTCTATAAACAAAGATGGTATATATTGAGATTAGTTCCAGAAAAAAAATCAAACAAACAAGAAACATGAAGGTGGTGTAACAACCAGAGGGAAACTCCAATGCGTTTAGTGAACAGAGCATGCAGCCACACAGACAGCGCTTATTCATAGTGTAGAATCATTTGAACAGAGAAACTACGTGCCTTGCGTCTCATACTCCCAGTTAGCTGACATGCGGTACTATATGGTTACGGTTTTCTGGGATTGAGAATCCGGTTATTCTGTTCCAGTTTCTGAACTCAGAGGACACCTAGGCCTTGATTTCTAATCAGGGATAAAGAAACTCGCCCTCTGAAGAGTACTACAAGGCTAGTATAAACCTGATCGGTTACATAACAAGATCCTGAAAATAAAATCTTTAATTAAATTAAAAACAAACAAAAAAACTCACTGCACTACTTCTGTCCATATACATAGATAAAGACTACAGTATATTCAAGACACGTTTAATGCAAGTTGGCCCAAGGCATTTTTTTAAATTATTTTGCTCACTCACCACTCATACCTTGTTTGGCCAATGATTATCTGAGTGGCATGTAAGTAATATTTATACATTCCTAGTCCCGTGTGCACCCAACCTGCAGCACTATTTCCAACCACCATGTATGCAATTTTGTTGTTCATGGATCTTGGTAAATGCCCTCGATAAGGCAGCCCTAGACATATCCAAATATCAAATGCCAGCATCACAGAGTTCATGTGTTGGAGCCGTGTGGCAGGTGAGGTCAGCAACCCACATTACTAGGGAGAGTAGTTGTCACGGACTATAGTGACTGCAGATATATAATGTCATTTATTTCTCTCTCTCCCACTTTTAATAGCCATTACTTGTTTTAACACTTGCTTTGTATTTCCTCTACCAACTTTAATTAGAATATTTACTACCTGGAGAACACAGTTTTTTAATGTATTACTTTCTAATTGTGGTTCGACTTCTAAATTTGATCTGGTCTTGGTTTTGCTTTAACTCCTGTACCACAACGCAGAAAATGCTTTGGTCTGAATACAGGAAGGACTTTTGTTAATCAAAATAAAAGGATATTAGAAAAGAACAGATTACTGCTGCTAGCTTACTTTAATGATTACAATGTCAATAAAAAACAATGGTTTTCAATTATGCAGTAGACCATCAATAGAAGTAAAATACTTATTTTGTATTTGATGTGTTGCCAATTATATACATCATCATCGTGGTATTTAACCTTGAATTCACACTGTATTAGAATGGCTGACTGTCTGAACCTGGCTATTCCACTATTACATGCCTCCCAAGTGTTCTTATTTAGGACGGATAATCCCTATTTTGAGCAAAATTTCTCAGTCCATCTTTTCTAAGTGCTCTATATTGTTGGTGTGTGAGTAAATAACAGCGTCACATCAATAATACTAACAGTGATGTTTCCTTAAACTACAATAAATTATTTTAGAAATCAGTCTATGTTTATAAGATACATTGTTCTTGTTCTACATTAAGTTTCAGCTGCATAAATTGTTATTACTAAGTCATCTAAAATTTCTCAGAACTGCCCCGCCCGTGACCACATCCCCACTCACACTCCAAAATTAAAATGTCCCCTCTTGGTCCATTTGAAATGTTGGGAGGTAGGATATTATATCCAAGTACCCTGGCATGTTTGGTACTATAACACACACATTTCAAAGAACAGTCAACTGCCCAATGCATCACACAGACAGGACCAAAACAGAAACATGCAGTCATTTTTATTTCACCGTATATACACACATATGAAACAGAATTGCATTTGGGCAAGCTGACATTGGGGCAGAGTAACTAAAAGATGCGGTTTTCACCTAAATTAACATTTTTTTCCAACAAACTTTTTGTGATTTTTTTTTTTTTTTTTACTACAGTAGCACAAATCTGACCAATCGGAGGATGTAACAATGGACGTGTCTACAGGCAAATATAAATTGAGGAGAGTCTCTGGAAGCACGTTAATCTCTCATGTTAATATTAGTAGTGTAGGACACACCGATATTGATGTACTGAGACATAGTGGTGGGCTTAACACAATATGGCCATATTACTGGGAAAATCAACTGTATCACCATATTTGTTTGCCAAAATAGGCGATTTTGAGTAGTGTTATAAAATGTAAAACTGTATTTTTTTGTGTGTGTGCTGTTCCTTAATCTGTATTTTGTAATTCTTGACACTAACATACGCAACTGCTTCCAATGTGAATATGTCTCAACTGCCGATTAAAAATGTACTGTTTAAACCAACTAGTTAATTTTTTCGGCAAAATATTAAGGTTTATGGCAGAAGTTAGGATGCTAATATTATTTTGCAACAAAAGGAGGTTTTTATGATATATGAGAACAGTCTGTGGCATTGTGAGGGAACACTGCTATATTAGTCCAAGAATGGCACTTTCAGTGTTCCCTGACTAGAGAGGGGTTAAAACTCAGGTTGCTCTAGTACATCAATTAGGGAGCTACATAAACCCTATGCAGAGGGAAATCAGTCTCTCCTGTGAAGAGCTGGGGTGGAGACAGAGAGACTGTGAGTCAAAGAGAATGCTGAAACTGTGTGAAAAATAAATAAAAGAAAAGTATTTTGCAAGCCTTTATTTTTATTTGTTAAACTACTGGGGTCAGCTTAGCTGCCCAGTAGCACAGAAAGGGTACTCTATGTTAGTTAGTCTCCAGTGTGGAGTAGGAGTTATTTTGGTTTCATGTTTTGCGGTGGCTCAATTGGGGCCAGCTTGCTAAATAAAGCTTTCCTTATATTTGAAGAAAGAACGGTTACTGGTATTTACGACCCAAGACCTGGCCAGCCTGCTACAAGACACACACAGTCACACAGTCAGACATGCTCAGTTACAGGCAGACAGTCACAGAGCCAAACACACAGTTACAGGCACACAATCACAAACAGTTACAGTCACACACACCGTTATATGCACACAGTCACAAATACTCCATTACAAGCAGACAGTCATACACACTCTATTACAGGCATGCAGACACTCACGCATGCTGATAGGTACACACACACACAGTTAAAGGCAGTTAGTCACACACAACGGCACAGCTACAGCGACACACACAGGCAGGCAGTCACACACACACACAACGGCACAGCTACTGCGACACACACAGGCAAGCAGTCACACGCACACAGGCAGTCACACACACACAGGCAGTCACACAGAGTCACACACACACAGGCAGGCAGTCACACACACACACACAGGCAGTCACACACACACAGGCAGGCAGTCACACACACACAGGCAGGCAGTCACACACACACACACAGTCACACACACAGTCACACACACAGGCAGTCACACACACACAGGCAGTTACACACACACAGGCAGTTACACACACACACACAGGCAGTCACACACACACACACACACACAGGCAGTCACACACAACGGCACAGCTACAGCGACACACACAGGCAGGCAGTCGCGCACACAGGCAGGTAGTCACACAGACAGTCACACACAGGCAGGTAGTCACAATGACAGTCACACACACACAGGCAGGCAGTCACACGCACACAGCCAGTCACACACACAGGTAAACAGTCACACATACTTACCTCTTTGAATTATGGCTGGAAGGGGGAGTGTTGTTGGTGAAGCAGGGACTCCTTTCTTCTTCCCTCTTCCTATGCAGCAGTTACCAGGGGCTTTGGGTAGGTATTACCCAGGCCCACACTGCTCAGAAAGCCCTGCTCCCTCAATTAAAAAAAAAAAAATATTTATAGACCAGGGTGGAGAATAATGGAATCCTCCATCCGGGTACCTGTTTTAGCTCCCCTGCCCTCCTGTCACCCGGCCATGTGCGAGCTGTGTCAGCCACATGGTGCCCCCTGGTCCATTGTGCCCTGTGCGGGTGCACAGCTCGCACATCCCCAAGGCCGGCCCTGTATGAGAAGTATGTTTATAAACCCTTTACTAGTAGTAGACTTGTTTTTGCATGTTGCTGTTCTTAACTAGGTGACTTGTGCACTTAGAGCTGCTGTTTACATTTTTCACCTACTAAAGATAGAAACATAAAATAAAAAAATGCCAATTAAACACAAGTCCTCACTGGCAACAATACTGCAGGTGTTTCCCTAGTTTAATAGGAATTGTGGGTATTAAGTTGTGACTGGGTCCCAGAGTCTTAGGAGGCCCAAATGGACTCATATCCTATTTTCACTGCTGGTCTAGCAGGGTAAAAGGTGATCTGTGGTCAAGGAGTGTAACTTTTTTGCTGGCTTTTCCTTAGTGTGTGGCATTACAATACCCGCACCGGCCTGATGTAGCATACTGGAACAGAACAGGAGGTCACAAAGAAAATAATGCCTCCAAAGGACAGGTCACTCATTCATAGAATAGACCATGAAGGACTCGAGATTTACACACCCCAATATGTTGCAGGCCCAAACACTATGTGCATGCCAACCATTTAGTTAAATCACAGGCTTAATTATGAAATCCATGCTAATTAAGCGATTTCATTAAACATGCTCTGTGACACATACGGAGTGCTGGTTATTTGGAATCTGCATTAGAACATAGATCTCTTTCTCTCATCCAGGACTTTCTGATGTTTGCAATTCACAATATAATAGTCGGTTAGCAAATGTAACAGTGTACTCATGCTTCAACAGTTTCAGCAATCCCACCACCTCGACTTCAAGGTGACTCATGAAGAACGTATGGTACATTAGGTAATGATCAAGCATTAGTGAATCATGCATGGTGAATGATGGACGGCACCAGCCGTGTGGTCAGATATACTGTGCTTCGGTAGAGTATAACATGAATAGAGTGGCAAGGACAGGAGCAACTATCAAACTCAGAAAGGCAGCCAGCAACCATATTGACCTACATTAAAAATACAAAATGCACAATACAGTAATCAAAATATTGGAACATAATGACAAAAAGGCTGAGATAAATAAATGCATTTTGACTTAAACAAGCTTCTGGAGTTTCTGGCTGTCTTGCTGTGTTTGAGAGCCATTTTCCATGCATTCCACATTGGAGTCAAAAAAAGGAGGAAAAAAAGGACCATGGTGCATGCATGGTCCGGACATCAACTACAGTGTAAAACAGAAGTAGTAGTAAAAGTATAAGTTAAAATAAATTCCTTGCATGTTAATATTATGTGGCCAAGTACTGGCACTGCACAGAAAATTGCAGACATAAAAACAATTTAAATACACACAAATACAAAAAAAAAAAATATATATATATACATCCAATAGTTTCAATAGCAAAACACAGCCTCAATTTAAAAATTTTGGGATAAACCTTTCAAATGGTTTAATATTTTTGGATAAAGCTTTACAATGATTATTTTTAAATATTCTAATATGAAAAATATATGTTAAATATATATAAATATACCAAAAATAACAAAATATTAGAATATCCCTAAAAATATTAAATACTAAAAAAACAAAAAAAACAAAAGGCATCAACAAATTTTACATTTGAAAAGCTTATCCAAAAATATTATGTTGAGGCCCATATATGAAGTACTTCATTAGAACATATTTAACTTAAATTAAATGTACCATTTCCATTGGAGGAAGGCTCAGAGGTCTCCCAGCCCATTGACTTCATCACAGCTTTTTTCCATCGAGCATAGCGAAATTCACTTTCTAGATGGAGAGATAAAGAATGTTTAATGCACAATAAAGTTTAATTTATTTTTCTTTTATCATATCAGACTTTGTGTTCCATTCTATTTTGTAAACATGTAAATTATTATTATTTTTTTTTAAAGAGATTGGTTTACTCTTTACCCTCAGGATTAATTTGTGGCTCAAACCGTTCACAAGTGACAGCAGTCATATCTCCGGGGTTCAGGCTCCAAACACCAACACCTTCCGCTGCCCCTGCAGCCATTGCAGCTCCTAGTGCAGTTGTTTCAGGCATAGAAGGTTTCACTGGTGGAAATAAATATCACAAATATACTCTTTGTTTGGACAGCAGCTTTATTTCTTTGCCATAACATAATCTGAAATGTAGTAAGAAAGAATGTATAAGTTTGGAAAATGAAATGTGTACCTCCTTACCTACTGGAATGCATAGTATATCAGCTTGCAGTTGCATAAGAATTTTATTATTGGTCATGCCCCCATCAACTTGCAGCTGGCTGAGAGGAATGCCACAGTCTTTATTCATGGCATCTAGAATCTGGCAAGAAACAAAAAAGTTACATAGTATTAAAAGATGCAACAATCTGTCTGCTGTGTGATCGCAGATATAGACACCTATTGCTGGCATCTCTGATTTTGTATTAAATCTTCAAAATACAGAATGTCTGGGCACACCGGTGGTTTCTTCATAAGGCAGTCTTTATTGCAGGAGCACAGAAAACAGACAATGCTTCAACACACCTATGTGCCTTAGTCACATCGCAGATTCTATTATTAAAGGGACACTATAGGCACCAAAGAAACTTTATCTTAATGAAGCAGTTTGTGTATCAATCATGCTCCTGCAGTCTCATTGCTCAATTCTCTGCCACTTTGGAGAAAAACTGTTTATTTCTGTTTATGCAGCCCTAGACACACCTCTCCAGTTTATATGTATTGACCAATCTAAAGGTTTCAAACTCATCATTCGAATATTGGAGCATTATACCTTCTACACCTATATATCGGTATACACATTAGTTTCAAGATGTGTCTTATGCTACACGTCAAAGAAAATGTTTCATTCACTTTACAACTGTAATAAATTAAATTTTTTCACTTAATTGTATTGGAACTTGTTTGTGCCAACAGCAGCAACATCACATGGATATTTTTTTCTGTTGTGCACTTATCTTTCCTGTACCCATTTTGTATGTCGAAAAAAAATAAAATAAAAAGGAGACATGGAAAAAACAAAAACAGAACAAAAACACAGAGCAGGCGATAAATTCTAAATTAAACATAATGTGCAATGAAGTGTAAACAATAGATGACTCTTTATAGGAAGTGTTTAGAAAGGCTATAAGTCACAAGCAGTGAACTGTGACTAGGGCTGCATAAAAATTGATTTAACTCCTAAATGGCAGAGAATTGAGCAGTGAGACTATGAGGCATGATCTATACACCAAAACGGCTTCATTAAGATAAAGTTGTTTTGGTGACTATAGTGTCCCTTTAATGAAGTAGGAGTAAAATAAAGTGTAGGGAGCAGAAAGGTCATTACTGCAAGCTTTATCCTACATCACATACGGATACTATTCTCTTTCAGCAACTACTGAAGCATCTTTTCCACATTTCACTGAGTTAGATATCACCCTGAAAAGGTTTCTCATACAGCAGTTTGTTGGCATATGTAAACGGCTACACATTTATTTAGGAGTGGTTCTTCTTGCAGCATACCTCTCTGGTCTGGAAACAAACTGCTTCAAGAGCAGCAAAGGCAATATGATTCCTATTTGTAAACTGGGTAAGGCCACAGATGATGCTAAGAGGAAAATAAAAAAAACAAAAAAAAGGACAGTTAGAGCACCCAGTAGAGCAGAAGAGAAAAATACAAATTACATAAGTCTGCCACTCCTACTATTAAGATGGAGTATTTTTAGCAATGTATTTAGAATAGGAAGGTTACTTCGTCATTGCATTATTTCAATCCATGAACCATGATCAATAATATTTTTTGCTAGTTTGCACAGTAATTCATACTGTCTAGGTTACTACGTAGTTATTACACTTGGTAAATCATTTGGCTTTCCCTTAACCAGCTTATTAGTAGACTCCCGAATAGTGATGTCGCGAACTTCCCGCGAACGGCTCGCCACGAACCGTTCGCAGCGAGCTCCGGTCAGCTGACACATCCCGGCCAATCTCCAGCAGACCCTCCCACCTCCTGGACAGCATCCATGTTGAAGGCAGCTTCAACATGGATGCTGTCCAGGAGGTAGGAGGGACTGGGAGGGAGGGTCTGCTGGAGATTGGCCGGGATGTGTCAGCTACATCACTACTCCCGAATAGCGCCAGCTCTAGGTCCAAGGCCACGCTCCTCACTTATCTCTTTGCCAATAACTTTTCTTATCTGCCATTATTTCTACTATGTGGATGATCATGTTTGGATTAAACAAAGGTGGACATATATCTGTGTATAACCACTCTGGCAGTCCATCTGTTTACTGTAGAAACATATGTTATGGGATCAGTGACATTCACATTTATCTACTTCTACATACACTTTAATGTTTGGTTTTCTTATATACACATCAAAAGGTTTATAAAATTTCATTACACTGATATAAATTACATTACTTTCATTTAAGTAATAAGGTCTTCTTATTTATTTGTGTAAACACATTCCAGTGTGTGTGTGTGTGTGTGTGTGTGTGTGTGTGTGTGTGTGTGTGTATGTATATATATATATATATATATATACACACACACACACACATACACACATATATATACACATATATATACACTTTCTTTGGTGTATTCTGCATTTAAGTATCTGTTCAATTAGTACATTCTAAACATTGCATTTTATGGTCTGTATCTTATATGCTCTCACTGTCACTCATCCATTGTCTCTCTCCACCCATCTTTGTCTTGTCTTTGCCCGTACTAGCCTCCCAAACTTCCCTTCTCTTGTTCTTGTAACTCTACCGGTCATATTGTGACATCATGAATCTAATCTGCTTCTAGATGGCAAAACACACAACTGGAATCTTGTGACTCAAATAAATATCAACTGGTAAGCTCTTTCTTACCCTCTGGCACTGGGCTCCCAGTAAGGTGCATATAAGCCTGAAAATGCAGGAACAAAGTAGCAGCCATAGGATGTACCAACTTCAGCAGCAAGTTTTTCTAAAATAAATGACAAAGATAGTTCATTTGACTTATATACAGCAACACCACGTTTTCAGGAAGTATAGGATTTAGAGCTGCTACTACAACCTACCCACTTCCTCTGTTGACTTCACAATGCCAAGGTTGTCTCTTAACCAGCGTACAACTGCCCCGGCTATAGCAACAGATCCCTAAAGAAAACAAAACTCCAATGAGACTGCAAAGTAGGAGTTATTTTTTCCTATGGGGTAATTGAGCAAGATTATGAAAACACACAAAAAAATAAAATAATATATAATTACCATAATAAACATTTTAAATAATGAATAATGTTTTCCTTATGAATTGTTTTACATAGAGATAAAATAAGAGGGGCATAGAAGGTAAAGAATTAAACAAAGAAAAATGTGACCAAGAAAGAGGGAGAAAGAGATGGCAATAGACAGATCTACATAATTACTCATTACAGCCGCATGAAACAACTTTTCTTTAATGTACATGCCCACAGAAATGCATACACAAGATGCTAGATGTTTGACTTTATGAAGGACATAAAACTTGTTTAGAGAACTTACTTCAAGTGCATAACAAGCGGGTTGGTCTCTACCAAGCTTGTAGCCAACTGTTGTCAGAAGACCATGTTCAGACATGACGGGCTAAATCACAAACACAAACACAAACATTATTAAAACAATGAGGAAAATGCAACCATAAAATAAGAAATTATGCTGTACTGAATGATTCATTTATAGGCAGGATTGGAGAGGAACCTACGTATTGCGAATTACAGACCAAACTGAATTAGTATACACACAGTGAATAAATGATTCACAGATATTAAAACACAAATTCTTCTATGTTAGACTTGTGTAAAATGTGCAAGGTTATGTAATGTTTCCATATTCTAGCATTTCCTACACCCCACATGAAGAGAAGACGCATAGTCTGTAAAATGCCATTCTTCTATCTCATGCTGCTCCCTGTCTTCAGGCGGTTACATACTACAAAGTTTCCTGGTTGCAGTTGGATAGCTCCAATTTTTGATCTGTGTCCTGAATTCCCCACCCCCCTCTTCTTTAGGGTCTTTGGAAAAGAGTGGCTGCTCAGTGGACTGACCATAACCTTTGGTTTTATTTTTCAGGTTTTAAATTTCTGATCAGTCTACGAGCAGTTCCGTGTACTTGGTCTTAAAACTCTTTTCTTGATTTCAACAGTTCCTCTTAAAGACAGTGGAAACTGGAAGCAGGTAGTGATTAGATATATTTTCATAAGCTTCTCCGCTTAGTAAAAGTTACTTATGTTTCTTATGTGTCCCTCAGTCAGCTGCTTAGACGAGCCCATCATTGCACATACCTGAGAGGTTCTAGAAGTCAGAGGATGGACTCAGCCGTGGAACTTTTAACCGTAGGCCAATATGAAGGCCTAACAAGTTAATTTAACCCCTTAAGGACACATGACATGTGTGACAGGTCATGATTCCCTTTTATTCCAGACGTTCTTTAAGGGGTTAAGGTTCTGATACATTACAAATATATCACTTGCATATCAACTAAAAGGGTGTTCATTCATTTGCATATGTCACATTTACAAGTTTATTTTAGTTTTTCCATGAGTTAAATTAACCAATTCAAATAATAACCATACATTAAAATATGCAGAAAAATGTCAGGTTTTCATTGCAAGCATTGTGTTAACTTCTTCTCACTTAGTACATCAACAAAACATGTTACATGGCCACGGGTGCCCAAAATATTTGCATATTCACTAGAACAACATGTCAAATTCTATTAAATATGGGTTCACAACCCAAGGATAAACATGACAAAACCCAACAAGACAAATATGCATTTCTTTAGGTGTGTCATTTGAGGAGAAATGTTTGAGAACTAATATGGTGCATTCTGGAGTTTAGCTAATTCAGGTTATCAGTTAATGTATGTTGAAAGCAATATATGTACATTATCAGCTGTACTGATAAATATTCAGGAAAGTGTCCTTGGGAGCTACGTTTTAATGAGAGGTCAAGGAATATCAAGCATTATAAGGGACATAAAAGCACTTAAACATGAAAGAGTAAGCCCATGCTTTAAGAACTGTGTAATCTAAGCCATGCATTCTTCTTCTAGACACCTACCTTTGAACCAGTATTGCACAGCAAGAAACAGCCAGTACCATAGCTACAACAAGATAACTGGTATTAATATATTTCAAAAAACAGCCAATGCATGAGAATTTCATGATGAAAACTGACACGCTATCTGCTTGGTATCAAGCTTGAGTAAAAAGGCATATACATGTTTACTGTTACTCTAGCAAGTTGACAGATCACATTCCTCTTCTTACCAAGACAGAGGATATGAACAAACTCAGCTGAAAATAGGAAGGTCCAACTGGTAGGTGGGCAGAATGGTCTATAAATTTGCAATTGCCAACACCATTTTGTTGTTATGGCAAAACAATACTCACCTTGCCCAGAATGCAGAGCAACGCTTTTGAAAAGTCAAATACCGTATATACTCGAGTATAAGCCGAGTTTTTCAGCACATTTTTTGTGCTGAAAAACCCCAACTCGGCTTATACTCGAGTCAGTCTGTATTATGGCAATTACATTGCCATAATACAGACTGGGGGCTGGCAGAGCTGTTACTTACCTCTCCTGCAGCTCCTGTCAGCTCCCTCCTCCTCCGCGCCGGTCCGGTCAGCACCTCGGTCAGCTCCCAGTGTAAGTCTCGCGAGAGCCGCGGGGTCATAGTGCGGCTCTCGCGAGACTTACAGTGTGAGCTGAGAGAGGAGCTGCACGGACCAGCGCGGTGGAGGAGAGAGCTGACAGGAGCTGCAGGAGAGGTAAGTGCTTCCTGCCAGCCCCCCTCCTCCCCCCACTGAACTGCCAATGCCATTGGACCACCAGGGAAGGAGAGCCCCCCTCCCTGCCATGTATCAAGCAGGGAGGGGGGACGAAAAATAAATAAATTAAAAATATATAAATAATAATAATAATAATAAAAAATAATAATAATATAACAAAAAAATTTAAATAATATTAATTAATAATATATAAATAATAATAATAATAAAAAAATAATATAACAAAAAATTTAAATATTAATAATATATAAATAATAATAATAATAAAAAAAAATAATATAACAAAAAAAATTAAAATAATATTTTTTTTTTATTTTTATAAAAATGCCCACCCCCCCACCAAGGCTCTGCCACACAAGCACACACTGCATCACACACACACTGCACTCATACACACACACTGCATTCATACACACACCCTGCATTCATACACACACTGCACTCATACACACACACTGCACTCATATACACACACTGCATTTATGCACACACACTGCACTCATACACACACTGCATTCATACACACACTGCACACTCATACACAAACACTGCACTCATACACACACTGCATTCATACACACACTCTGCATTCATACACACACTGCATTCATACACACACACTGCATTCATCATATACACACACTGTAAATAAATATTCAATTAATATAATTTTTTTAGGATCTAATTTTATTTAGAAATTTACCAGTAGCTGCTGCATTTCCCACCCGAGTCAATACGTTTTCCCAGTGTTTTGGGGTAAAATTAGGGGCCTCGGCTTATATTCGGGTCGGCTTATACTCGAGTATATACGGTACTAGTGCCATAACAGATTGGAGCATCAGGGGTAAATCAAAATTTGAAATATTCATATCTACAACAATCAATTCTGGGGCAAATTGGTACACATGCAACCATTACACGATTTTGTGTTTGCTCCATACAATCTGTCCCAGAATTTGCTTTACAAATAGACTTTATTGGACCATATGCATCACCTACACACTGTCTGATAATAAATGTTTATGCACTGGTAGCCTTTACATCTTTGTATTTCTCCATACTTAAACTCAGATCTAACTATAAATCATGTGATTTTTATATAGTATCACCTCTCATTCTCTGAACCCCAACATACCTAACCGTGAGAAAGGACTAGCTTAAAAGGAACACTCTGGAAACCATAACTTTATTGGAATGAAGTTGATATGGTGCCAGTAGGTCCCTGGCGCATGCTTACCTTTAGAGGTTTACCTCTTATGAATGGTTTAATCCTGCCTTCTGTCTTTCTGCTGCTCAGATTATTGAAAGAGAAAGCCTCACACAAACTCGGACAGGGGCGCTGCTGACTAGAGAGTCATAGGCTCCCCATTCACACAACAGCCTGAGAAATGTATGTCAGTTGGCTTAGAGCAGGGGTTCCCAACCCAGTCCTCAAGTACCCCCTACCAATACAGGATTTAGAGATTACCCTGTTGTGTCTAAAGTGTTTTTTGTCCCCTTCAAGAATCTAATCAGCAGAAGGACAGGTGGCAGAGCTAAATGTTGTTGGATTCTGGACTTTGCAGTTGTTATGGTGTACCCTTAAAAGAAAATAAATAAATAAATAAATAAAGGTTACTCACGTATTTTTAGCTTGTCCATCCTGAAAACACATTTGCCCAACCAATGCAGCAGACTGGTCCCCCAAACACTGCAAACAAAGATTACTTCACATAATTAGTCATTATCTGTAATGCGGCATATGATAACTACACATAATGAAAAAACACATTTTCATGTAAAAAATACAGGCAGGAGTATTACCTAGCAACACAAAATTATATTGCAAACTGCTTAACCCCTTAAGGACCAAACTTCTGGAATAAAAGGGAATCATGACATGTCAGACATGTCATGTGTCCTTAAGGGGTTAAACCATTTTACTTGGTTTAGATGATGTTCTTTTCTCAACATTTCTGTAATGACTTTGGGAATCTCTCTGGTACTTTATTAACATTAGTTTAGATGGCCCTAGATCTAGCTATAAAGGCAATAAGAAATCTTTAATATAGCTTATATATTCAGCTTTTTGTCTTTGCAGTGGATAGACAACCCTATAAAAGGATTTAGCATTTTGCGTTATATTTTTTATAACGTTGCTTTTTTTTTTTTTCTTCAGAAAAGCTTGCTCTAAAAAACAAAACTAGTGTTTTAAGAAAACACTGGTTTTGGTTGGAGTAACTCGTTAAATGTTCCTTACTTGCTACAAATCTGTAGCTCCAGCAAGAAGCATCAGAGATTCTCCACCATGCTTTTCCTCCCATTTCCATAAATCTCGATCTTTATGGGATTGCTTCCGTTATCTCGGACAGGATTTTTTGGTGATTGTAAAAAAAAGTCTGAGGCATATCCATCAAAGCAAAGGAGGTGCCATTATAAAGTGAAGTGCTAAATAAGGTGCAGCCACTATAGAAACAAAACAATGTCTCCCAAGATTTAGCACAATGTAACCATAATAAATTTCTCCCTACATAGATCATTGTCTCTGTTTTCTATCTCTTTGTGTACCTCTGCTCTATAGAGGAGGCCATCTTTAAAACACCAATGACGGTCCCCCCCATGTCTCCAGTAACCAAGTCATTATACTCCTACATTTACCAGGGATACATATCTTTGCGGTTTTCCCATGTGCAAGCTCACTTCACTAACCTTTTGTGGGTGTGCACACAGATCCATGCACATCATACTTCCTCACAGCCTCATCTGGCCAGCTTAAGCTTTTTTTAAAGCTTGCGAGAGAAGATCATGTATATACGCCAATCAAAGACCGGAAATGCACGGTATTAGAACTAAACTTTAGACCAATTAAGCATCGCAGGCTCTGTAAATTAATATTTCTTGCATTTTAACCCTGCCATAACATGGCAGTAGTGAAATATTCAGCTGCAATATTATGATAATAATTGGGAGACATAGCTGACAAGGGAAGGAAAATGTGGTGTTTTGTCGGATAAGGATAAATGATTGATACCAGCTGGTGTCATCATAGTTGCACGGTGCAGTACAAATAGAATATGTCATAACAGATGATGTTTTAATTCTGACTTTTCAACCAGCCAGTTATGCAGATTATATGACCACAAAAGCTTTCATTTTTTGCAGACAGTGCTTCTACTCACTCTGAGAATTTTCAGTACTCTAGACTTTTTCTGCAGGTTTCCATATGGAGTTGCAGCCATATGATTTGTGACCAACTGATTGTTTTATATACACACACACACACACACACCTCAGTCTTTAAAAAAAATAAATAAAAGATTTCCAAAGCATAAAACTCACCCCGGATATTGGCACTCCAGTCAATGCTCCAGATTTCTGAAAATGAAAGAAATACAAGGAGTAATAAAAGACATGGATTTAAATACATTTCAAATTAACTAGATTTACATAGCATAGAAGCCATTTTAAAAAAAAGCAGTTGACAAAGTGTCATAGCAGAAAGCCAACAAACAGGGACTGAACCCAAAAACCCACAGTGCTCGTGTGACAGACACACCTTGTGAGTGTGTGAAGAAACAAACCCATTGTGAGGCCACAAGTAAAGCAAATTAGCACATTTCCAGTTGTCATCTTTAACAAATGCAAAAATAAAACTAGAAGCTAGATGTGCCATAATCACATTTGATAAAACTTTGCAAAATTAACAAAAAAAATAAAGAAAAAAGAAATAAAGAAAAAAAATTTTTTTTTAATAACTGGAAATGATAGAATATATAATTCAAGTGCATGGAATAGGTGACTGGCAAAAAGCCCAATAAAAGCCTTTACTCACCAGGCTTACATTGATTTTCTATGGTATGCAAAAAACACAAGAGGGTAGAGACAAAATTCAAATTCAAATGGTTTGTGTCAACCGCCAAGTAAACACAGACTGTACCGCAAGACACAGATAAGAAACCTATTGGCTGGAATGAGGCTTTGGAACATATACTGTGATTGCATTAGAATGCTATAGATACCAACACTAACAGAGTTTGACAGATCCTCATTAAACTTATCCATTAAACATACACAATGCAATTGTGATGATTTCAATTTAAGAAACCACTTCTCTTGTTTTTCCATCATAATACATGCAATGAACTGTTCTATTAATCATTTATGAATCAATTTATCGTATGTTGGGGTCGATGCTCATGATTTTGAATATTTTTTATGTTTAAACGGATAATTGTTTTTATTCACTTTTTTGTTAACCAAGCAGGAAAGTATGGGACACAAGCCTTTGGTTCCTAAAAGCAGCAACAGAATGCAGAGTTAGTGGACCTAGCCCCCACAAAGAAGTGTGGAATGGAAGTTTGTAGATCTTGCAACCCAGTGTGATTTCAATGGGCCTTGTCACTTGTATTGAACTGTGAAAAATCCCACCAAACTACTATCGCAAATTGAGCAGAAATGACCAAAAGTTATTATTCCATCTTAGGTCAATACATGCAATTCCTTCAAAAGCTACATAAATTTATTTTTTTTAGAGGACTGAAGCTCAGGATACTCAGAAAGTGACAGCTGGCACTTTGGAATTCTAATAACGTGTAGCTGCCAGAGATGGACACAAAGTCCCGGTATCAGAGTAAAATAGAGAGCAATGATCAGGTTTTAGAGTACAGAAAAATAGAAGAAAGAAGAATATAGTGTAAACTAGTATCCATGTTGTCAAGATTCTTACCACTGCAATTAAGCAGTTTCTGATGAGCTTCTTGGTATTCACTCTCCGACTTGGCTAGTAATACTGAATGTATGGTGGAACCCTGTGATCTGTATCTTGGCATAATCAAATTATAAAATTTTACGAACCCTGGATTTTACGATCCCTGAAATTTTCACACACTGCACATAGAATAGGAAATATCCAGCACAGTGTTGTTAAAGTGCATTATAAGAAGATTCCAAACCCCTAAAGCACTTTTTCCTGCCAAGTGGCCCACATGCAACCCACCTCCCGATGTTTCTTTGCAGGAAACATTCTATTGGCCTGGATATCATCAGTACTGGTAATCCCCCTGGAGGGGAAGCAGAGCTGCACAGAGAGGATGTCTCGGTGAGGGGTTGGGGATAATTTAATTAACGTGTTTTGTTTTTTTTACGGGTATTTTTAATTAGAATTTTGGATTCTTCGTTAACATTGTTATTTGTACAAGTTTATTAAATATATAACACTAAACCAAACACTTTGACTGAAAATTTATTTTTATACAACTGATAATTATGAGCAAACACACACATTTTTATGTATTAGGAGGAGAAAGGTCTATAATACAAAAGGTTTATAAACTGAAGAACTCTTACCATGAGTCCATAGATCTCAGAAGAGCTCCTTACTTTTGGAAGCAAATCCATAGGTATATCAAAAAATCTAAAGAGAGAAAACTGTATTTGAGTGTTTAAACACCGTATATATAACAATTCAACGAAAAGTATGAATTGTTATGTTGCTTCACATGAATTATATACACTGTGTATATATAAATTAAAGGATTCATGTGAAGCAACATAACTATTGATACTTTTAGTTGTGGTTGCATGATTAATCCATTCTGAGAAAAAAATGCAATCACCAACTATAGGAAGAATTGTGTTGCTGACGATGTCCACGTAGCAAACCATGTACTTCCTCTGTTTGCATATTTTAACAGGAAGTTGAAATGACATTACTGGAAGAATTCAGTATTGTGATTCATGCATTATCGGTCCATGTGGGATGAATGGTCCAGCTAGCACAGTTCAGTATTGTGATTCATGCATTATCTGTCTATGTGTCCAGCTAACACAGTTCATGTAAGGTGTAATTAATGGAAGAGCTCCATATTCTATCCAACGCATTATATGTCTGTGAGTGGAACTGGCCTTACTGAAATGGCTCAAAATTCCACCCAGAGCATTGTCTGCTAATATAAGCTGGCAAAACTTAGTATTCCATCCAACATGTTATCGATGAGTGAGGAGATAACCTTACTGGCAGAGTTCAGCATCCCATTCCAGAGTATAAATGTTGAATAGCATAGTCCTACTAGCATTGGTCACATCTGTGCAGTGAACGCCTCCATTCTTGCCTCCTGTCAGACTCTATGAATATATAATAAATAAATTTTTTTAAAAAGTCAGTCTATTAAAATAAATGTTCTCAAATCTGATTTTTTCTGAGTGGCCTGAGACTCTTGCATACCCCCGTCCAGAAACAAAAAGCCACTGTCCTTAAAACCCACATGCTAGAAGGAATGTGGCATGAATCTAAACCTGAATGTAAAAGCAACTACCACAAATATCTAGTGAAGCATACAAACCCAAATAATCCAGGAGTCTACGGTTCCAAACATTGCTCGTCCTTCTGCGACTGCCTGTCTAATCTCTTCCACATTGTCCAGCAACCACCGCATTTTCACGGCACTGAAATAGGTGCTAATGGGGAGACCAGTGCGGCTCTGAAAATAATCAAACATTCGGTTACATCAAGACAGAACAATAAATAACATGTACATAGATCTTTCAAATCAGAATTTATATAAGCCATTAATTCTTAAATAAATGTGAAAATCAGTAAAACAAAAGTTTTTCTTTGATCATATCTTTTGAAAATTAGAGATTTAGCTTCTTTATTAAAAAAAAAAAAAAATCTATAGAAAAGTAAATTTCTGTATAAAAAGGTATATGTTCAAGAAGGAGTTAAAGCCTTTTCCTGCATACAGCGCTACTAAACATTACCTGCATTGACAAAACTAAATTAATACATTTGGCTGAGAGGTATTAAGACTATTTACTATTGTGGAGGAGGGAAGGACAAATTATGAAATACTCTGAGAAAACTGGGGACTAGAAAAAAACCCAAAAAGGAAATAATAGTTTGAAATGAGTGGTTCACAATTCCAGGAAGCACCTAAGCAAGTGTCTCGTTCTGGATTCTATAAACACATCGAAGATTAATTCTGAGAACGTAATCGCAATTACCCCCCTTAAACTCCAAAGGAAGGACTATGACTCAATAGTGAAGTCAATGTTTATGTTACCTTGGTATATACCTTTTTTTTTTGGGAGAGAGAATACTTTGGCTGCATACAGTAGTACAGGAGGCTACCATCAGCATTGGATCACTATGGTGAAGCACTCCAGAAAATCACGAGGCATTCCCTGTACGCCATCTATTTACAGAAGTAAAAAAACGGTCAGCCAATCCTGGTGAAACATATTTGGATTAGCCACACAGTTTGTAATGCTCAGAAATTACTTTTCTTCTTCTCTTTCACCTTTCTCTATAAATAGTACAACTTACACGTGATGAGAGACAGGGATAAAATGTAGGGGCATAAAAGGTTTAGAAAGGATATTAAAGAGAACAATTTAAAAAAAAAAAAAAAAAACCACACCACACAGTTAATAGAAGCAGATGACTTTATTTTTACTTCTTAATAGATTACAAAACCTAAAATACCAAGCAACTAAACTTAGCAAATCAATACACCACTGGAGTTTGTAATTTACATAGGTGCCCCTTAAGGTTTCCTGATCACAGTTTGATTATTTTCCAATCATACAGAATCACTACTGCAACTGCACATGTACGGATAGGTGGTACTAAAAAGGTTCAATTGCGATCATACTAGTAAAAACACACAGTGGCCAATCTGCTCCCATACACTTATAGAGCCCAACAAATGCTTACCAACTGTTTTGCACTGCAATTACATCAGTTGGATAAATTCATCAGAAACCCTAACAAGGAGTGAGTCATATAATGGGGGGGAGGGGCTGTGAGGGCAACATGGTATATTATTTCTTAGGGGTATCTAATATTACGTTCCATTGTTTCTACGTCATTTCACGCATTAGGTCCCTAGCCCAGTGTTTTGCTGGGACAGCTTCTGAGAATGGTAAATATTCCAGAGGTAGGCAACAACACATGGAAATTGGCTTACATACTATAGGTAGCTGTAGCGGAGATGCAATATTCCCCAGGTTATCTCCGCTTATAATCCAAGTGAGGCTCAGGAACAAGTAAATAGTAAATCCACAGGCAAGGTTTCCAGCAGGTAAAATAACAGAAGTATCCCAATAGCAATCCCAATAACTGGACGACACACAGTTTCAGGAGCAGAACTAAAATCTTTAATCCACACTGTCCTTTTAAAGCATGCTCCCATGCAAGGGAGGGATTTACAATCATTAGTATAGTAGCCAATCCTGTCCTGGTAACCTCCCGCACATCTCCTCCCCTCAGCCAGCATCATAATCCCCTTATCCAGTACAGTAATTCCCCCCGTTTCTGGATGTACCCCTAAACGTAGGGGTACCCCTTTAAATCCTACCCCCCCTGATAGCCCTGATCTGGGTGAACAACATATCCAAAAATCACCCAGATCAGACCAGAGGTTCGGGAAATCTATGGAGGGAATAAAATGACAGACCGCACTGACGGAGACAGCCGAATGCGGTTCCATGCGAATGAGCCCTGCGGTCGGTCCTGGAGTAAGGGAACAAACTACACGAAAGCCTCTAGCTATAAAGGCTAGGGAGGGTTCGCCTGAATCCCCTCGTTCGGTTCTTTCTATCTACCGAACGAGGGGCCGTTCGGTAGTTAGGAACCGAACGGACCGAGCTTGTGGAGGTTTCAGCGGTGTTTGCCTAGTCGAGTGTCCAATTTGAGTTCCAGACACTCAACGGCAAAACACCGCTGTTCGGGAGTTTTAAAATGGCCGCCGCCACGTGTTCGTTTTTCTAATGGCGGCCACCCCCGAGAACAAAGGACGGCTACTTCACTTGCCAATTACCCGTTCGCAACAATGTTGCAACGGTTAATTGAGAACACACTTCACACATGGGAGGTCTGACTGTTCGGTAGTTTCATTCGAATAAACTAAGGGAATGAAACTACCTAACATTCAGACGAATCCAATACATTAAATACATAGACTTTGCCATTTTTACACGAATACATAGAAATACATGAATTGTTCAGGACAGCACAGGGCCATCCGCTACAGTAGCCATCTATTAATACATATACTTTCCCATACTGTAAGCTCCAGCTAAAAACTAATTATCCAACGCTGCTGAGAATACTTTGGCTGCATACAGTGGTACAGGAGGCTACCATCAGCATTCGATCACTATGGTGAAGCACTCCAGAAAATCACGAGAGCTAAGTGAGGAACATGACACCCATGATATCGGCCAGCTTCTCGCCCAATCACGCAGACCTATGATGATGGATTACTACCCAACTCACGACTTGCTATGGGCCTCGGAGGATGAGGACCAGAGGTTTGTGGTGGCATCGACTTAACCACACAGGGCAGGGTTTGGACTCTGACGTAGTCTTAAACTACTTTGGCTACAAAATCAGATCTAACTACAATAGTGCTTGATCTCAAAGCCTTCTTTGCTTCCGAACTGGCAGCGCTGAAGGAACATTTGAATGTGCGGTCTCTATGGATACGGGCCACTGAGAAGGATCTCTATGGCCTAAGAATCAAACAAGATTCGCCTGCAACACAACAACTTTAGGTCAATACCACATGTGCACTATTGAGTGCTAAGATTGGGCAACTGGAAGATAATGTGAGACAACACAATTTGAAGGTGAGGAGGATTCCTGATACCATAGACCCAGCAGAATTGCTGCAATTTATAAGGAGGTTATTCTCCACTACCGAGACATCAAAACAGGCTAAGGGGCTATCTCTGTATGGAACTTACCGCATACCTTGGTAACCATGCAACAAATCCTGTGTACCTAGGGATGTCATCCTGGGTTTCAAGTAATAAGGAGGTTTTATTAAAGGCAGTTAGACACATTCCATACATCTTTGAGAAACACTCATTGAGCTGTTTCCACAATTTAAGCCACCCAACATTACAATGATGTGCATCTGTAACAGGGGTGACCTCAAAACTTTACGCTGCCACTATTCCATATAAATTAAACCCATGGACTCTCACTTCCGAAAAAGATGGCCACCGTTACAGGCTGACAACACATTCATATATTTGCAGGGTCTTGTTTCTCTCACCAACACATCTTCCAGGCCTGTTTATCAGTGGGACGTAGCCAACATTAAAGTCTTCATCCAATCTGGATCCATGGCTCCAGGTTGAACCTCTCTTGTGGAACGCATTGCCCCAACCAGGAGCACGAAGAGTGTTTAACATGTTTTCTTTATTTTAATTTTCTGATGATATTCGTGCTCTAATTTGAAAGTATACCATGTAACCATAAAGTTTTTTTTGAAAATAAACTGATATTGTCAGCATAAATTGAATATTTTGGCTGTGATATATAGGGGTCCATATTGACCCACAGTCACACGTGGAATCCTGATCCCCCCCAACCAAAAGCGTAACTAGAAACCTCCAGTGCAAGAATCTGTTAAACCCCCCGCACCAACTATATAAAGAGAGGTAGACAATAGCTAGATTCTCAGCTGCTGTACAAAGCCCATGATGAATTGACAGCTGTGGATCTACCATTTACCAATCCTTGAGGGTACGATCTGCATGCAGTACCTGTGAATGTGGGCATCTTTATCAATGGAGTTTATTTGAGTGAATGTTTGTTTATTTGTATATAATTCTGGTGTTTGAATACAGGGTATCAGTTTGTGTGTAGTGTTGGTATTTAATTCAGGGTTGCGTAGTGTTTGAGTTTCAATTCAAGGTAGTGTTAGTATATGAATACAGTGGTGTGCTTCTCTGTAATGTTGTCACGTGAATGCAGGGGTATTTTGAGTGTACTGTTGGCGTTTGAATGTTAGACTGATTTTGTGTACAGTGTTGGTGTTTGAATGCAGGATTGTGTTTGTGTGTAATATTGGTAACTGCATACAAATGTGCTTTCACAAACACATATGCACTGCTACATATACACACACACACAGATATACTTCAAGAGATATACACACATTGACAGCAACACCGACGTACATGCAAAGATTCACATACACAGATCCACATGCAACGATACATACAGTGGCACACACAAACACTGACACACATGTAGATACATACACATACACACACACACACACTGACACACATGCAAAGAGACTACTTTGTTGTGTTGAAGGCAGAAACTCCCTGTTTGTGTCAGACAGTTTCACAACCCAGATCAGTAACCCTGATCTCAGCAGGCCTCCCATGTGCCCCTTCCCTAATCTGCCATTTCTGTGCTGTGCCCCCGACCCAGGGTGTCTCAGTGTGACTCTATGGATGTCCCTGACATACACACTGCCCTGGGCAAAGCTCTCACATACTGGGGGACATATCTTCCACAGCTCCCGGTCCGCCGCCCACAATCTTGCAAATATCTCCCAACAGAGAGGCCATCTGCCCAAGCAAAGCACACACCCGGACCCACAGTGACGGGGCGATCAGGTCGATGCCCTTCTTTCAAGCCGCCAAGCAACCTAGGCAGCGGCGCAAAACCGCGGCCTACCACGCGACACCAATCCTCAATCTAGAGGCACTTTTCGGCAGACAACAGGATAGCTGTGACCACCAGGCATACCCCGTCAGACACACTAAACATGGGCTGCCGCACACCCAAGCCTGCAACCTGAGCCAGCACCCAAGGTAGGGACATTGGGGAAATGCTGATCAGACCGGGGCTGGCCACACCAAAACAAAACGGATCCCCCACCAAACATGGCCCCCGCCCCAGAAAGAGAGGGAAGGGGGACCCCAAACATACAGAACCCTCAGGAGGGTTCAGCCATACCCCCTGTCTCACCTGAGGATTCAGCCCCCACCACCAAAGGGGACTTAAGGTGCTTTTGGCAGACATCCAAAAAACTTTTGGCCGCTGACGTTGCCCTGATTAAAAGGGACATGTAACAGATCACAGACAGAGTCACTAACACACCATAACCACCTTGCAAGACTCGGTCCAGCAGCCGCAAACAGAACAACATGTCCTAGCAGCACAATTAATGTCCCTGGAAGACAAAACGCCGAACACACATTAAGATCCGCGGCATACCTAACACCATCACCAATGAAGAATTGCCGCACTACATGCGGCACCTCCTGTCAACATTCCTGGCGCACCCAGTGGAGAAAATTACACTGGATGGAATATACCGTGTAACCAGCTCAGCCCGCATCTCACCTGACACCTCCAGAGACGTTATCTTAAGATGTGCTACCACACACGACAAAATCAGAATAATGACTGCCATGAAAGGCAAAACGCCACTAGAATTTGAGAACACCAAACTATTGTTTTTCCAAGACCTAACCAGGGCCACACTACTCAGACGCAAATCTTTTGGGCCAGTGACGACTGTCCTGCGCAAAGCCAACATACCATATAGATGGGGTAACACCAGCTCCTTACTTGTGCATCACGCAGAGACCACCCACAGCTGCTACACCTTTAATTTGTAAACTTTCTTTAGTTCATAATAGTGTGCTTAATTTAATTCATATTTAGTTAATATTTCCTGCTCTGTTAATTGCTTGCAATAAGCCTGCAGTGTGTCAATAAAGTTCAAGAGAGTAGAGAACTTCCGAAGTAAATACACTGTGCTGTAATATTGGTTTGAAAATGAAAAAACATTTTCTCCCATGGATGCTGTGTGAGACAAACCAGGGAGGTGTAGCTAGGACTGCCGAAATGTTAATTTAACTCCAAAACAGCAGCAGATAGAGCAGTTTAACTGCAGGAACATGATCTAGAAGACAAATGTTTAATTAAAGGATCCCTATAGTGTCAGAAAAAAATAAAACTCGTTTTAGGTCTCCCCCACCCGCTGGGCTGAAGGGGTTAAAACCCCTTCAGCTACTTAGTTTAATCCAGCACCGGGCTCCCTTGGCGCTGGTGACCTCTCCTCCCACTCAGACGTCAGCTCCCGAATGGAGTGGAATGTGCATGCGCGGCCAGAGACGAGCGCACATTAAAAACACCCATAGGAAAGCATTGACGTTCTGCATGCTGAGTGTGATTTTCGCATTCAGCATCTCTAGCGGCTGTAAGGAAGACAGCCACTAGAGGCTGGATTAACCCTGCAATGTAAACATAGCAGTTTCTGTGAAACTGCTATGTTTACATCTGAAAGGTTAAAACTTGGGGGACCTGGCACCCATACCCCATCATTGAGCTGAAGTGGTCTGGGTGACTATAGTTGTCTTGTAAGCTAGTTGTGTTGGTGTTTAATGCAGATAAATATAGGTCATTATCGAGTAGCGTGCGATGATGCCGAAGTGAGAGGGAGAACACTGAACTATGAATGTTCAATAACTACACATTCCCAGTAACCAGATGTAATATCATAAATCTATCCACATCCTCATTTTAGGATTTTTGTACAACCGTGTGCTAATAAGACGCAATTAATATCCTGCAGCATACAATAAAATTGTATTAGATCCAGAAAGAGTATTTTAACTTAACATACCTTAAAGATGTTCTTGTTTTTTCCTGGAATTCTCTTTAACAGCCTCTCAACAGTTGATTGTGTCCGTAAGTCAAGCCAGACTATAAATTGTAGAGAAAAAAGGGGAACGGTTATGTACTTATATAAAACCAGAAAGGAGTAGCAAGGAAGTGGAACAATATACTGCTAGATTCACATAGAAAGTAATATCTTATTTACTGCGTGAAAACATAAATCAGATAGTCTATTTTGTATCATGTAATACAACAGCTGACAACTATATAAAACATCTTCCCAACATTCCAGACATTAATCTCACAGAAGCTAGGCCCTGGGAGCATGTGTCTGACAGCTATAGAGTGGCTCAATTTGGCCATATCTGAATGGCTAGTGTATGGGTCCAACACATTTATAGTTAAGAGTCAACACCCTTACTAAAAAACAAAAACAAAAAACACAACACTATAGGACAGTTGCAGATGCCGGAGCTGATAGCCCTAAAACGTTATTCCTCTTGCACAGGCTGTGAAGGAAAGCGTAAACGGAGAAAGCCACTGTCTGATTTTGGTAAAACACGAGGACACTTGAGAGCAAACCATGAGTGTTGGGTATATACAATGGCACAAGTGAGATAATATGTTTATGAGTCCTCAGCTAGGACCCAACGAAGGGTAAACTACCTGAGCGGTGGTTCGTTCTCACAAACTCTTGTTTTTTTTGTTTAATTACATATATCACTTTCCTGTTCTTCACATAAACCATTTCTTTTTTTATTTCCAATATCTTTAAATTCAAGTAATGGCTTTGTAGCTGCCACATGGAAGTCTGTTTCAGAGAGCTGTTACGAATAGTCGCACACAAGTGCAGCCTTTGGAAGGAAACAAACACTTGGGAACAATCATTTAAAGAATATTATCATAAATAATCCCATATGGGGTAATTAGTTAGCAATAAACTGCCAATGTGAGCCTATTAATGAGCACACCGTTTCAAGATTAACTGTAATGACAAACAGGAGCAATGCATATGAAAAGTTGTTGTGTGCCAAAGTACTCATAAAAGAAAAAAAAAGAAAAAAAAGAAAAGAAAAAAAAAAAAGGTTGGGCACAAAAAACTTGTCTAGGATTTTAGCTTTAATTTACAAGAGATTTAATTATGTTTATTGTAAACAATAACATGAACGGTTAACATAGTGGACATGGCAAATTTAAATGTGAAATTCCCTTTGGATTCCTAATAATTGAAACTATAGTAAACAACCTGTTGATGCAACCGATGGAAGGACCACATGTTTATTAAACTAGATACGCAAAAAAAGTTTTCAGTGTAGTTATTTTAATCATCTGCACTTACTTCCCAGCTGAAGGTTGTAAAAGCAAATATCGAGTTGATAATTTACTTAAACCAACAAAAACCTTTGTGCTTTGCTTAATATAGAAATGGCTTACTTATGCCATGACCTTCGTTTAAGGTGCAGTTCAAAGTTTGGCTTGCTTACACTTAAAGAGCCATAAACCACATTATGTTGTTAAACCAAGATTTGCTTGACTCTCCTCCTCCACATGTTATGCAGCATTTCTTGAATTCAGTTAAATATCAAGTATTAACTTACTGACATATTTAAGGCAATATACAAATACGTCATTGAGAATACCCCTGTTAGCAGCCGATATGTTCTATGGTCAATTAATCTTTGCATTAATTCCAGTTTCTCTTTGTAATGAATGGGAACCAAATTATGGGGGTTTATTCATAGTTTAGTGCACTCCTGTATCTTTAGTTTTAGCATCACAATTCACATTGATCTATATGGTATAAGAACAAGCCTATATATTCTTTTAACATTTTATTTAAACAGCAATCATTCTGCAAATGTAACCAATCCTATATATTTCCCATACGTTCATGGTAATGATAAAAAGCAACTAAACTTACCGATAGCATTGTATAAAGGCTCTCCTGTCGTCCTGTCCCACACAACTGTTGTTTCTCTTTGATTACTGACTCCAATTGCTAATAAAACAAGTAACATCATTAATTATTTTTGTTAAGGTAAAAAAAAAAAAAATAATAAATAAATAAAAAAAATTAATTCATGATCCTCTTGCAGACCAGTAAAGATTTAAAGTTGGAAAACATTGTCTGGAAGCCAAGGCACTTTTTTGGTACGATTAACTTGCCAATAAATAGATTTATGGCACTTTGATAAGACTTTTCAAAATATATTTTTCGATCTCCAAGCGTACAGCACAGCGAACACCATTCTCTACTTTTTCCTTGTATTCAGATTATTACATACAATTTATAAAGCAAACATATGAAACAAAGATTAATAAGAATATATAATAATGTTACAGTATTACTCTATTTATAGAATTCTCTTTCTGCTTATATATGATTTTGGATAGAGCTTATTTTTTGATATTCTATTAACGCTGGTCTAGTGAGGTTAGGCGCTACTTCTTAAAGTATCAGAGGTCTTTATTGCCTTGAGTAAATGTGAGTGTGTGATTACATGTTATACACATTCCTTGGGTGTATTTAAATACAATGCAACATTTTTTTCTTCTCTTATTTTATAGACCTTGAGAAACAACTGTAACAGGTAAATTGTTCTTCAGGGCGCCACCATTTATTTTTGATCTCCTACACTGAAACCAGAGGCAGGCTCTACCACAAAGCAAACTCTTCTTACTCAATTTGAGCAACCTCTTCTCCTATGTCAGCAGAGGGACCATCCATTCCATTCCCTGTTATGGAGAGGAATGCTTATATTATAAGGAAAGCATTATAAGACTAGCACTGCCAAGAGCAGAAATAAAGGTTTTTAGTGTGTACAAAAACCTCTTCCACTATATCAGAAACATCTAGAACAGGGGTTCTCAACGTTAGTCCTCAGGACCACCTACCAGTCCAGGATTTGGGGATTACCTGGGTGTGTCTAAGGTGTTTAGAAAAAGAAAGAAAAAACACCTTAGAGTCTAAGGTGTTTTTTTCAATTTTTCGAAACACCTGAGACACACCCAGGTAATCGCCAAATCCTGGACTGGTAGGGGGTCCTGAGGACTGGGTTGAGAACCCCTGTTCTAGAAGGAAAAATTCTCAACTATTCCCTAATTTAAGAAGACATTACATGCAAAAACATCGGAGTCTAGCCATTTGCTATAAAAAAATTAAAAAAAATAAAAAAGGAGCGGCTGTAGGACCCATCCCTCCTCTCTTTCCTCTCCCCTCAACACAAGGTAAATGAAAGAGCACTCCATGGGTTTTTTTTTTTCAAATGTATAATGTGAAATCGACATTTCAACCCTCCTGGTTCTTTTCAAGATTAATCTTTATAGCTAGAGATAAACATATATGTTAAGATTATATATATCCTGGTTATCACAAACTTTGTATAAGGCAGACCAAGAAGGATATGAAACAACATCAGAGAAGGGAAGGAGACGTAAAATACAATTAGGGATCAGGGTAAATACCTTTAATATTGGTGATATCGATGGTAAGCTGATTTAGCTTCTCACATGTCTTTTCTACACATTCATAAACAGACTGCAAAATTTCCTTTGGATCTTGTTCCACCCACCTGATCAAAAGGACAAAGTAGATAAATTAGAACACATATGATTTGGATAAAAGATGTGAAAAAGAAAAACAAGTATATAAATAAATAAAATCACATTTTGCATAAAAAATAAGGCATTGGAAGCCCCTTGAACATCTGCAGAGATAGGAATGAAATACATTTGACTCTTATTTGGAGCAAACACCCTTCTGAGTTCTCTCCTTTGGTTCTCCCTTTGCTTTTAGCAAAACAAGTTTATGGGAAATTTTAATACAGCTTTCAGTATACTGTATGTGTTCCATAAAGCCCCTTTACAATAGGTTTCTTTGTCTCAGAACTTTTTCTAGGAATTGGGAGACAACTAGAAGGAACTAAGGGGCACCGTAGCTTCTAAGACTATCCATTTAAGCTCTGTACAGACTGAAATAAATTAAAATAATAATAATAATGGTTTCTTATGAAAACTTGGGACCCTTGTTAGTGAAAAACTTAAAAAGTTACTGCACCATTACTACAGTGACTTGAAGTGGTCATGGTACCTGGAGTATGTATGTGCAAACATCTACTATTAAATGCTGCTCATATGGAGATAACCCCTCTGCTGCCAAGGGTGTAACTCCACCTCTGGTAGTGTCACTCTAGTTTCGGGGTGGCTAATGTCAATTTTATAACATGACACAAGGCTTCGTATTTGCTTAAGTCTCTCTTTACTAGAACCCCACAGCAGCACAGAAAAACAACCAATCAGAAAAAAAAGTTAAGTACTATAAAACTCCCCTCCCCATACATAATTTCATTTTTCTTTGTTGCTCCGCATCAGTACAGGTCAGAGTACCACTACCTCCTGCTATTAGTAGGTGGCTTTGGGATTGATTTGTTTATTTACAGTGTTTATTATATTATATTATATTATATATCTGGGGATTTATTTATCTTTTACAGTGTTTTATATGTAGTTGTATTGCTGGGGATTTGTTATTGTATGGCTTTATGCTATTACCCTTGATTGCCTAGACTTTACTCCCCGTTGGGCCATCTTGTGACCCTTTACTTTTATTTCTGGGGTTTTCCCCTGTCTATCCCTAGATTTCATTCTGTCCTTTTTTTTCCCTTCTATCCCCGATTACTCCTAGCAGACCGTGTGTTGCTCAGGGGCTTCAGGAGGCCGACTGTGCTCTGCCTCCCCGATCCCCCCAGAGCGCTGGGATCAGCCTCCAGCGGTCCAGAGTATTGCTTTCCGTGTGTCTTCTGACGGTCGCGGGGTGTTTGCGACCGAGCGCAGTACCCGGAGGCCGGAGCTCCTACCACATGGCCGCTCACCGTGACCGGCTCTCTAGTCGGATCACGTGTGTCCGACCGGCTGGAGGAGGGTGCGCTCGCTCACGTCCCTCTCCCGTCTGTACCCGGTTCGGTGGGAGGTGGATACAAGGGGCTTCTCCCCCCTGGGAGTAAGGGACTACTCCGGACCGTGGCCTGAGCCTTCTGGCGGTCTGTGGGTCCCCTTCACCCCTGCTACAGTGTTTATATGTACACATACCTCTGAATGCATTTTTTTCTTATACTTCAGAGTTTTTGCCATGGGGGTTGCAATTATCACTACACTACAGCAATAAAGTATACAGTGCTAACTATAGAAAGGTGTTTATATTGGACCTCTCTCCCGAGTTCCCCCCAGGATATTAATTTACATAAGGGTGCTACCCACACAGTGACCCTTGCTGCTGTGCTAATACAGCACAGGTGACTGACCAGCTATGTCTGTGCCCCACTGATTGGCCTGCTATGTCCGTGTCCGAACCCCTTTTGACCGCAGGCCTGGGGGAATATCACGGAGGAAAACCCAGTTCCCACTATTGACATGGAGATAGGTGGGTGTCCAGGCAAACACTGCTACCATACTAACTAAATGGACACCAGAATACGGGCAACTCAGTGTGATTGGAAGGGGGAAGGCCCTAAACCTCACGCACTAGGGGCAAGGCTTTTATGGAAATCCCCGGGCGTGCAACCACGGTTTACGCCAGCCCGGCGGCGGCACATCTCCAAGAAGAATTTCGCACATGCAGGGACCAGTGCTCAGACGTTTAGCTGACTTTCCGATACCCATCTTGGGTATTGGTAGTTATTCCTGCTTCATGTTTAGCTCCTGGCCAATTTTCCTCTCGCTCGGGTCGCCGAGAGACCTGACTCTGCCTCCTCCGACCTCTTGTGGATCGCGCAGAACGTCTCCAGCTTTCTTCAGACTACCGACGGTCATCCGGGATCGCGCGCACACACACACACACACACAGGCTCCAGGCGGTCCGTTGGTAGATTATCATTATTCCAGAGGTTGCATTCTCTCAACACCCCTTTCTGTTACTAAAGAAGAGCACGGCCCGAGGTCGTATACTACTCCAGCTACCATTGGTCTGGTTTATTACCAGTTGATCCCACCTCTCAGGTGAATGATTCAGAGGGAGGTCTTGTGGTCAGAGAGGGACCCCCTCAAGACCTCAGTCCTACAGTGATATTACTAAATGGGGAACCCTGCAGGGTCACCCTGAGCCTGAAATGGACTCTAGATTCCAAGAGGGTGCGGCCCTCCATCGCCTCAGCCCTAGACTGATATTTATTTACACGAGTAGAGAACAAACCCTTCTCATCTACTGAACCGGACCCTGATCCGTTATTAGAGGGTGCGGCCCTCCTCCAACCTCAGTTCGATACTGGGATGGATACAGGAGACATTTCTGAGTGTGGCCCACTCTCATAGAAGGAACCGCACATGGAGGTAGACACTTTTTGTTATTGACGGGTTTGGCCCGCTCCTGCTATCAGCCTGATGCGGTCAGAGTTTGTGTACATTATTAGAGAGTGCGGCTCTCTCTAATACACTCACGCACTACGGTGCCTTCCCCTTGTTCATCACACAGGCTAGTACCTGTACAGGACAACGATGTCTGTATAGAGGGGCGTCCCTTATACATTCAATTCAAGATGGAGGTACGGGCCACCGGGTTTACCACTGATGTTTCAGCTCTTGTATAGGAGTGTAGTACCTCACCGGTATGCAAGGGAGATGATACTTCATAGCGACTGTGTAAGGGATGAGAACCCCTCCATTTGATCTAACGTCCGTGCTACGGACATCGTTATAGTGGGCTACCTGATCGTGCAGGTTATAAATGTTTAGACTGGATATGTTATACAGACCATTGCGTACAAACGTTTCAGACTGTTTTTACCCATGTCAAGGGACATGAGATCCTGAGGCCTTCATAGAGCAAACTGGCACTGCCTTACTCGGGTGACAAGACCGGGGAAGGCCCACTACCCGGGCTGCAGGCACATCGTACGCATAGATCGCATGGAAAGCACGGAATCTTTGGTCGACTTTGGGTTCCCTGGTCATTAACAATCTTGGGATAGATGAAAGGACTACCTCTGCTCCTCTGAGAACATGATTCCGTTATGGAGGACGCTCCTATGCTTTTATCCCTCACGGGAACCGTCTTGGTTGTGGGTTTCCACTAACCCACCTATTCATCTACCATCAAGGAGACCTGCTTGGACTCTATAGGGTGGAACCCTGGCACACCAACTCCTACACAGACATAAAAAAATAAATAAAAAAAAAATAGAGATGCAACCTACAGCTGGAGTAATGCTCAGGATCTGTAGCAGGCTAGGATATGACTGCCGACGTTTCCAAACTGGACTGCCCCTGCTTCAGTCGGTTGAAGCTAGGACCTTGTTTGTTCGCTATATCTGTTCTCTGGAGTCATCTGTCGTTAGTGACGGGACTTTAGGTCTTACCTGCATTTTTAAGAACGCTACGAGTTCGCGGGACTCCAGGCTAAGAAGGGAGGTATTCCTATAGCTCAGTTCTCGAATTCGCATCCCTGGGTCCCTTGGCCTAGGGCCTACTTGTGGTGATACGTACCCGGACAGTCAGGGAAACAGGGACCTAAGGTCTCACTATATTATACCCTATCTTGAAGGTGGCGTGCCGACCAGGAGTTCCTCCATGAACTTTGACAGGTCGGGCATGGAATTTGGTGTTCTGGAAACACTCTTGCCGGCATAATAGGTTCATTCTCGGACAAGACCACTCACCCGGTAAGTCATGAGGGAACGATAAGACTATTCGGTTCGGTTATGGAATGGTGGTAGACTCAGACGCATCACCTGAGGTTGGAAATTTGTCTACAAGACCACATCACCTGGTTATTCCGGCACGATCGAAGAAACCATCTTCCACATCCAAGGTCGAGTTTTCTTGCGATCCTAAATCCACGGATAACCCTCAGTGTTTTACACCTACAGGGAAATGGCTAATAGATCAACTTGGCAGTTCATGGACGTCTGGTAGGAAACAGGTCGTAACCCACGTACAGGGGATCTAACAGCGGATGGAGTTTTTCCCGTATTCCGGGGTATATCGACAGCTGGCATCTTGATTGATCAGTCTACGGTCACTTCTCGCAGTTGGAGGGTTTATTGGGGATTGTTCTAGTTATCTCCCTGAATACGTACCAGCGAAACAAACAGCGTTGGATTTGTTGACTGAGCGTTAAAACAGCAAATACGAAGCCTCCTGTCAGGTTATAAAATTGTAGATTATGCTAGCTTTAGTGTACCTATAATCTTAATTTTATTAAGGACAGGAGGCGAGTATTTCCCACCCTTTCTTATCCCTCCCTTGTTTCATTTTATAGTTTGGGTTCATCAGTTACGTATTTAACTCTGCTTGTTGTCTCTGCTACCTGTCACTTGTTCTTATGTTAAATTTTCATAGTAGGGTTGGAATATCTACATATTAGGGTATTTTGGTTACTACATTGGGTACCCACATGTTTGTTCAGAGTACATTTCATTGGCTAACCAACCCGTTCAATTCTGTTTTTTCTTGTTTCAGTTTACAGTCTGTCAACGCTATCTGGTTTGGCAGTTCCTCTCGGATGGTGGACATTGTTGTATTCATTGTATCAAGGACTTTGTTTCTTCCCCATTGTATTTTCTGCCTTTTGTTCTGTATTATCGCAGCTTGAAAGAGGAAATGATGTATGGGGAGGGGAGTTTTATAGTACCTAACTTTTTTCTGATTGGTTTTTTTCTGTGCTGCTGTGGAGTTCTAGTAAAGAGAGACTTAAGCAAATACTCACCTCCTGTCCTTAATAAAATTAAGATTATAGGTACACTAAAGCTAGCATAATCTACAATTCTGAACAAAGAATTGCAATCACTGAATGAAAGCAGCCAGCTGATTCTCAGCCATTAAATAGCTGGCAGGATCGGAATCCTGTTTCTGCAGCTCGGCAGAAGCCGGATGTCATAAGTGCTGCTTCAGAGAATACAAGGAGCCTGGCAAGACACAGGTAAGAGGGCACACTGTTTCTAAACGATATGCCCCATTACCAGGGAATAAGGCCAGGGTACTTACTCCATTTCAATGATGAATTTAATCCATTGTAACGATGGTGTTGTAGTTCTAATCCGTGGAATACAGGAGACACTCTAAGACTGACATTTTTTCCTTTGGACACCCTGTTATACATATACTTAAAGCCATAGAGTTTTCCTTCATGTACAATGTTATGTGAATGACAAGCGTGCTCATGTACAGAGTCATGATAAACCATTTTAGACAAGTAAGAGAAACAGATTTGATTTTCCTGTTTTTCTTTGGCAAAAGCAACGATCTTGATGTGGTTCACAGAAATCCCTTGTTGACCCTATACAGACTAAGAAAAATGTATTCTCATCTGAGGCAATGCATCACTTGAGCAAACAACAATTAATATCAGTGTAAATAACACATGCATTGTCATGAAATTTGACAGGGATTCTGGCACACAATGACATTCTTTCCTGAAGGCATATGTTGAGCTCTATCTTTACCGTTCACACTGCAATCAATTGTCAGTCTATACCTTTGCCTTACATAGAACTGGTTTTATAAATAAACCTGCTAGACAGGGCCTGTATGAACGTCAGTGTGCCACTAGTTCACAGTTTACTGGACAATCATTCTTCTAGTCTGATTCAAGGCCAGCATTTAGGTCACTGTTCTGTATAGTAGCTCCAGCATCTTTGAAATATTAGTATTTTTGCAGTCTTCAAATTAAAAAAGAGACTTCAAGAACTATATAATATATAGAATAATATAAACACTTTCCACTTTTTTTTTTTTTTTTTAATTTTTATTTCGAAAAAAAAAGTGCTACAGAGCATGTATTTTGCATAGTTATACATGGGATAAACAATATTGGGATAATCTAAACAGTCAGGGTGGACAGACATTCTGTCAGGTAGTAGCTTGGGGGATGAGGTGGTGAGAGTGAACGGTATGACAAGTAAACATTTTACACTGAGTGAGCTCAGTAGCAGGAATCCCATGGTGATGGTTGTCAATCGTAGTCATGAGAACAGAAAATTCGGGGAATAACAGGTCCAAGGATCGGCATGGGGGGGGGCGGGGAGGGTGGAGGGACATCTTAGGTTGGTTAGGAGTTGGTTTTCTGGAGGTCTAGTCAGCATTTAGGAAGTGTAGCCAAGGGCTGGAGTAATGTATTTCCTCTAAAAGGCATATGGAGTTAACCTTATTGATCCATGTTCGGATAGTGGGTGCCTCGGGTTTTTTCCAGTGGCTAGGGATGAGAGCGTTTGCAGCTGTGAGTAGGTGTGTGGTTAGGGATCTTATGTTCTTGGGAACCGATGGTGGGAGGAGGAGGAAGAGTGCAATTTCTGGGGATTGGGGCAGTTGAACATTGGTGATGGTGTGGATCATCTTAATGATTTTGGACCAGTAGGTACAGATGACTGGACAAGACCACCATATGTGGCTTGGGGTTCCCCGAGGGTGGGGACATCTCCAACACTGCGCAGAGGCGTTTGGGAAGATTGTGTTTATTTTGGAGGAGGTGAGGTGCCACCTGGATAGTCGTTTAAAGTTCCCTTCCTGTGTGTGTGTGCTCACGCTTGTCTTGTGTACGTTGGAGAATATGTGTCTCCAGTCTGTTTGCGTTAGGGAGAGGTTGAGCTCGGATTCCCAGGATTTTGCGTATTTGGGTAGGGTGGGCGGTATTTCCGTTTGCAGTAATTTGTATAGGATTGAGAGGTGCTTCGTTTTGATATCACTGGAAACACAGTGTTGTTCAAATGGGGTGAGTTGCTGGTGTCCTTGGAGAATATTGGGGGTGGTTGATAGGAAGTGGGTGAGTTGAGAGTGACGGAATTGTTGTAGGGTCGTGGGTTGTGTATCTCCCCAGATTGCGTTGGGTGGTTTAATTCCTTGGTCATCTAGTAGGGTTCCCAATTGAAGGTAGTGGGTGTGTGGGAACGCAGTAAAGGAGGAGAGGCCCGGGGGGAATTTAAGGTTGTAAGTCAATGGGTATAGGGGAGACGGGTGAGGGGATATGCCCAATTTATCTCTTATTTGCGACCACACTCTAAGGGTGGGTATGATTGTGGGATGTTTTGCGTGGGCTTGCAGGAGTGAGGTTTTTCCTGTTTGTTGCCACGGGATTGTGAAGAGGGGTTGTTGAAAGGCAGATGTTTCAAGGTGCACCCAGTGTTTGGGATTGTTGGGGATGGTCCATTCATAGACCCTATGGAGCATTGTAGCTTTGTAGTACAGTTCTACATCTGGGAGGCCTAGGCCTCCTTGGAGTTTGTTGTTTGTAAGAGTGTTATATGTGAGCCTAGGGGGGGAGTGCGACCATATAAAGCGGGTGAAGGTTTTCTTAATGTCGGTGTAGAAGGATGCCGGTAGTGTAATGGGGAGGGTTTGTAGAAGGTATAGAAGTTTGGGGAGGACATTCATTTTGATAATATTGATGCGGCAAAGCCACCCGAAGTGCGGTTTGTGCCATTTGGTCAGGTCACGAGAGATAGTCTGTAGCAGGGGCGGGAAGTTTAAATAGTATAAGTCTGTGAGGTGAGTTGGTAGGTGTACTCCCAGGTATTTGACATCCTTGGACGCCCAGAGGAACGGGAAGGAGTTTCCAAGGGAGGTTTTGGTGGTGCTGGTGATGACTAGGGGTAGGATTACGCTTTTCGAATAATTGACTTTGAAGTTAGAGACCCTATGATAAGAGGTGATTTACACTTTCCACTTTTTATATTCATTTAAATTCCTAGAATGTCTTCAACATCACAGCTGCCCTCCGAAAAAGCACAGCCAGGGAACTTAAACGTAAATGGAACTGCACTCCCCTATAGAACATCAGCATTAACAGATTGGCCCTCTATGTCACTTTATAGGTTTATATATTAGTTCTAATTTGTTTATAATTCTTTATTTATGTTGTGCATGTTATAACAAAAGAACTTGCACAGCCACGACAGCATGGGCAAGTACAATAATGACAGTAGAGAAAGACATAATTATGGCATATGTAAAACAGCACAATTTTTTAAGGGAAACTAGTAGGTTTAGTTCTAATTTGTACACTCCCTGTCCTCTTCTGGATTGCTTTGTGCCTGGTACGCAATATGCAACAATAATATTTCTGGGATGACTAGAGTTTAAAACATTTTAAAAAGAGAAAACAGCAAAGTGCTACTTAACCCCTCACAGTTACACTCATGCATACATGATTGCCAGGGTATGCCCCACAATTGTGTATACACTATTTTAACTATTGCAAATTAAATTAATTTATTGCAAATGTATTTCAATTGCAATAGCGGCCCAGAGTCACAGTTATAGTACCGACTTCTCTACAGAAACAGATCTCCCTAACTGTCCCTGCTCTCAATGCAGATCTGCACCTCCGGTTGGGTGCAGATAGCCACTAATGCTTCCCACTGGTCAGGCACTGGAAGGGAGTATTCAGAGGAATCTGCACTGAGCAAGAGGTGCAGACCTGCCTGGAAGACCACAAGGGAGCCCACTGGACGCCCAGGGAATCAAGATTAGAGCCTCCCTGCTTGCATAGAAAGTAAGTAAGAGGAGGGCTATTGCAAAAAAAAAAAAAACACACACACACACACACACACACTGAACAGTGTAGAGCTGGACAAAGAAACACAGGCACCTCGCACACGTAGCCCCCCCACTATCAGAGAGGCACAGTCATCGCTTACGCACAATCTTGCCATAACCACAACGCACACTTCAAAACCACAAGCAGCCTCCACCGTAGCCAAGACACACTGCAAGCAGCTCCCCCCACACTCATTTGCTCCCAGACAGAGAGATATACTGAAAACGCACAGGCACAGATATACAATCCAGACACGGAGATACACTCACAGATGCACAAGGACACTATCTGTCAGACACTCTCAAGTACATACATGGTTAGAAAATGCCAGACATACACATACTTGTTTGTATCAAAGTGTACAAATGCGTTTGTGTATCAGTGTGTGCGTGTCCATAGAGAAAACATGGCTGCAGTGTGAGGGTAATATGGTATGGCCAAATTCATGGTAATGTGGCAACATACAAACACTAATATATATCTAGATATTTAACTATATCTATATCACTGGATATATTGCACATACACACACACCTTAGAACGGAGTGCAAATGGGAGATATATATATATATATATATATATACACACACACACACACACACACACATATATATACATATACATACACACATAATGCTGTAGTCAGCAAAGGTAAAATTATTTTATATACAATTCAATTTGAAAAAGAAAAAAAAATATGTGGGGGGGAAATTCTATAAAGCTATGTTACATGCTATTTATTCTAAAATTCTCAGATTCTGTTTAGCTTTCTTGCAAACTACTTGTATTAAAGGGGTTACGAAATGGTCAAGAACATGCTCTTGAGCTGGCTTTACGACGTATTCGCAAATTAATAGCACCATAGAAGGAGGAGGTAGTCCTAATGAGAGTTACCTACATTGTACCCACACAGTATATAGCTGTATTCCCCGTGTACACCCCACCACTAACCTATCAACTCACTGTCCACAGGGCTGCAGGTCGCTAGAAAGCTTTACGAGATTTTTACAGTTTACAAACAGTGCAGCATACAAAGGGTACTCCCAAAAGCCCACCAATTACTACAAAGATAATAGATGCAGGCATACACCCTGCATTTAGTCCTATATTGACCCCCCACAATCAAAAAAAAAAAAAAAAAAATACACACAACTGAGCAGGGCAGTATACTGCAGTGTGTGTGTTAGCGGAAAACCAAGGCATGGTCATAGTGACCGGGCCACGAAGATGTAGCCAGAGATCGGCTTCAGGGAGAACGGCCTAATGTTGTGCTACTGATGTCCTAGTGCATGTTTATTACCATGCTGTATGAAAAGCTGTGGCCACAGATGCTTAATATGTACCTTTACCCCTTTGACTAATCTCCCGATTTTCACGTTTCCATACCCCAATAACTTGTTTTAAAATACAATAAAATATCACTTTGGAAAAAAAAAAAAAAAAACAGGAGCAGAATTATTCTTGGAATTTGCAAAATTATATTAAGAGCTCTTTAATGTTTTTTGTTGTTTTTTTTTTTAACCAGAGAAAAGAGATATATTTAAAATCAGCGCTTGTTAACAGTAACTAAAAGCTTTAACTTGTATATACAAGGATACAATATGAACATAAGACAGTTGAAGTTTTTTTAATTTGCTTATTTGCCAAATAATGTGCTTCGTTAAAAGTAAAAAGCTTAATTCTTTATTTCTTACCCTTCTTTAGGGAACTTCTGTTTTATCTCAACTTGATGATGACTAAGAAGTTCTGCTGTTTTTGCATTGAATACCTACAATAAAACAAAAACAAAGGGAAATAAAAAGTTAGTTATTGCTTGAGGTCTTACAAAAAAGTAGATTGCTTTTAAATTTGTTTGTCAAATGATAGCATATATCTAGAACTAGAAAAAGTCGTCCATATCTTCAATATCAAATCAGTAAATAGTAGTGAATAATTAGAAATTTCACATATGTATTCATATGCATACCTTTCGACTGTCCCTATTTAGTAGGGATAGTCCCTATTGTGGGCACAAATCCCATGGTCTCTCTTTTGTAACCTAATGTCCATCTTTTCTAGTAGTTTCATATTGTTGGTGTGTTGGAGTATGCCTTTATGGACCGGAAGAGAGATCAGAGATCTACCCACCCACTGGCACTGTAATGCGGCAGCCGACAGGGGAGGTAGAGAGAACCCACAAGCTGTAACCATTGCAATGCTCCGGATGACGTCACTCCGACATTACTAAACAGCGCACGAGGGAGCAGTGAAGATCAAGAAGATTAAATCAGTTAAAGAACACCAGGACTAAAGTGAAAGGAGGACCCACACCAGCTCTCCCAAAAGTAGGGAGGCTGGGTGGGCCTCAAAAAAAAATAAAAAAATAGAATATACACAACTATAGATGAAATTAGTTTGTGAATGTGTGTGTGTGTGTGTTTGAGAGAGAATGTGTATGTGTGTGTGTGAAAAGAGTGAGCATGTGTGTTTCAAATCAGTGTGTGTCAAATCAGTGAGTGTGTGCATCTGTCAGTGTATGTGTATTTGTGAGTGTGTTTGTCACTGGGAATGTGTGGTGGTTAAACAGCATGTGTGTGTGTGCGCGCGCGCATCAATGGCAGCATGTCTGTTAGTAAGTGTGTGTCAGTAAATGTATCAGTGAGAGCACAAGGTGGGCCCTGCTTTGATTCTTGCACCAGTGCCCTGTGATTTCTAGTTTCGCCTCTGAAGATGTTGTTAATCCCTTAGTGACCAGACCGTTTTTCAATTTTCTTACCGTTAAGGACCAGAGCTGTTTTTACATTTCTGCTGTGTTTGTGTTTAGCCGTAATTTTCCTCTTACTCATTTTCTGTACCCACACAATATATATTATTTTTCTCTCATTAAATGGTCTTCCTAAATATACCATTATATATAATGAAACTATTTTAAAAACACACATTTTTTCGGACTTTGACCCCCAAAAACACCCATTAGTTTCAAAATGTTGTCCTGATTTTAGAAATACAGAATGTTAACAAGTTCTTAGCTTTTTTTTTTTTTTTTTGCAAGTTATAGGGCAACAAGTACAAGTAGCACTTTTTTTCCCAAAATTAACGAAAGTTATATTCTAACACTGATATCTGTCAGGAATCCCTGAATAACCCTTCACATGTATATATATTTTAAAAGAAGACAACCTAAGGTATTAAACTTGGGGTATTTTGACTCTTTTCATGCAACCATTTTACCACCAATCTATGCCAAATAAAAAAAAATTTTCAATTTTTTCTTTTTAAAAATTGGGGATTTTTTTTTTTTTAAATTGGGGATTTTTTTTGACAGACATGGCAATTTAAGACTACATGTACTGAGAACTTTAAGGGTTACTGCCAAAGAACAACCCAATATGTGTTCAGCAACATCTCCCGAGTATAGTGATACCACCCATGAAAAGGTGTGCCGGGTTCTCTGGGGGCTAAAAGACCTTATTTGGAGGGTGCACATTCCAGTTTTCCAATTTGGAATTTTCACAGCTGGTCATCATGCACCCATGCCCTATTTGGGACATTTTTGAAGCCGGCCAAAGTAAATTTACCCCCAAACCATATATTTTTGAAAAGAAGGGCATTTCAAATGGTGGTATTTTAACACTTTCCAGCCCAGGAATGAAAATTAACCCCATCATGGCATACCATTTGTAAAAGTAGACAACCCAGTGTATTCAAAATGGGGTATATTCAGTCTTTATTACTAGCCACTTAATCCCAACCCCTGCAATTTCACTGCTCAATTCACTGTCATTTAGGAGTTAAATCACTTTGTTTCTGTTTATGCAGCCCTAGCCACACCGCCCCTGGCTGGGGTATTTCCACTATTTTGTAGTAGCCACTTAGTCACAAATGTTGGCCAAAAGTTAGCATTTTTATTAGGTTTTTGCATTATTGTTTTTGTTTATTTTTATTTTTATTTATTTTTTTACACAAAAACTGCACTTTTACTGGTGATATCGTCGTGATAAGTTTTACTTTAAAAAAAAAAAAAAAAAACACCTCATATTTGCGTTCAGTGAAGTCTCCAGATTATAACAATACGCCCCATGTACAGGTTTTAAGGTGTTTAGGAAAGTTACGGGGGTTAAATAAAGGGCTTGCCAATTAAACTCTCTGGACGGTCTGCCTGGGTTGTCAGGCAGGTCCTTTAAACTATAATTAATAAAAATCAAATAATTATGTACAGTAATACCCCGAAAATTAGCATTTCTGAATCTCCGGATTCACGAATAATATATTACAAAATGCATTACATTTATTTTATACAAATATAAAATATATAATTTTTTATTATTTTATTTAATTCTTTAACTTTTTAGCTGTCTGGGAGACAGCCTGACAGCTCAGACAGTCCCCCTGCTGGCAGCACCATAGACTGCTATTGCGGCCATGTGATCATGGTGATCACATGGCCTTGGAGGGCCGTGGTTGATGGAGCTGCTGCAGGGGGACTGCTGTGGACTCGGTCCAGGTAAGCGTAGGGGTGATTTTTGCCATGGACGTCATTAAGGGACTTTTTTGTCGGACATACACAATGCATCTGCGGTCGGGAAGGGGTTAAACTTATGTTGGAAATCTGATCATTTTGTTTTACAGCAAGTAGAGTTGGGTGGCTAGTAGTAAGGAAATACTATTTAAAAGTAATTTGTCACTTTTCTGCAAAACACACCAATGGATATTACCTATAACATTTTTCAAATAATACACATTCTTATTAAAAAGGTGCCACTTGGCATCACAATGCAGATTAGTCCTGCCCAGTCAAAGCACACATTACATTAAGGGAGTAGAAACCGGAGCATGCTAAACTAAACCAAAGGGCAGAACTTATAACAGTAACTGACCGGGAGACACGATAGGGACACTTCATTCTCAGAAGTAAATACAGGTGCATATACATTTAATTTTATTTTTCATATATTTTATTTCTTATACATGACTGATAAATGAACATAACATTAAAAAGGGACACAGTAGACACTATAATTATTGCATCTCATAAAAGTAATTTACCGCTGCAAAAGTAAATTACTTTAACACCCTCATAAGTACACTGTCCCATCAACCAAAACACCTATTTCACACTTGATGCTCTACTTCACCCTTTTACTCCCCCTCCTTCTACCACCTTTTCCGCCACAAACTTTGCATCTTACTTCACTGAGATCTCTACAATCAGAGAAGAGATCGCTAATTTCTCTCCTTCCCCTACCAATACATCACCCAACTAAACTCCCTCCACCATTTTAAACTCATTCACACCTGCTACAGCAGAAGAGGTTTCTGCTCCCTTGATCCTATTCCCTCGCATCTCATCCGCATTTTGTCTCCCTCTCACTAAAATTTTCAACCTCTCCGTTTCCTCTGGCACATTTCCCTCACCCTTCAAACATGCCACTGTAAACCAGATTCTGAAAAAGCCCAGCCTTGACCCCAACTCCCCATCCAACTACCGCCGTATCTCGCTACTGCCATTTGCCTCCAAGATCCTCAAGAGAGTTGTGTACACCAGACTGACTGACTTTCTCGAATCAAACTCTCCGCTTGACCCCCTTCAGTCTGGATTCCGCGCTGGTTATTCTGTTGAAACGGCTGTGACTAAAGTACCCAACGATTTAATTGCTGCTAAATCTCGTGGCCATTACTCGATCCTAATTCTCCTTGATCTTTCTGCTGCCTTTGACACTTGATCATCAACAGTTTCTTCGCATTCTCCGTAATTTTGGTCTACGGGATACTGCTCTCTCCTGGTGCTCCTCCTACCTCTCCCAGCGATCTTTCAGTGTTTCTTTCTCTGCCTCCCACCCCCAACCACACTCTGTCGGCGTGCCTCAAGGTTCTGTCCTTGGTCCCCTACTGTTCTCTATGCTGCCTCCCTTGGTAAACTCATCGGCTCCTTTGGCTTCTGTTATCATTTCTATGTGGATGACACGCAAATCTACCTGTCCTCTCCTGATCTCTCTCTGCCCATTTTGACTCGTGTCTCTGACGGCCTCTCTTCGATTTCCAACTGGATGGCTGCTCACTTCCTTAAACTCAACCTGTCCAAAACAGAACTTCTGGTCTTTCCTCCCTCCTGGGTGTTCTTTTTGACTCAAACCTCTCCTTCACACCTCATGTCCAATCAATCGCCAAATCCTGTCGCTTCCATCTCAAAAACATAGCGCACATCCGCCCCTATTAAACCCCAGATGCGGCTAAGGTGCTGGTCCATGCTCTTGTTCTCTCTCGCCTTGACTACTGCAATACCATTCTCACTGGTCTTACATGTTCACAGATTGCACTGCTGTCTGAATGCGGCGGCGAGGCTCATTTTCCTGTCCGCTCGCACCTCCCACGCCTCCTCACTGTGTCAGTCCCTGCATTTGCTTCCAGTTAGATATAGGGCTCAATTTAAAACTCTGGTGCTTGCTTACAAGTCCCTACATAATGCTGCTCCAACCTACCTATACTCCCTAATACACAAGTATGTCCCGTCGAGGCCCCTATGCTCTGCCAAAGACCTACGTATATCCTCTGTCCATACGCCCACCTCTAATGCTCGCCTCCAAGATTTCTCCAGGGCTGCACCTCTTCTGTGGAACTCCCTTCCCTTCTCTGTAAGATTTTCACCCAGTCTCCACTCATTCAAAAAAAGCACATCAACTGTTAGCAGGTTTTATCCCCAAACCCCCATGACTCCTCTCTTGCAACTGTCAAAAATTACTTACTAAGCCCTCAATGAATACTTTTCTAACAACCTACTTCGTACCCCTACTTTTACCCTTTGTGTCACTATACCCCACTCTCTCTAGAATGTAAGCTCATTGAGCAGGGCCCTCCACCTCTCTGTTCCTGTACGTCCAATTGTCTGGTTAAAATTACATGTCTGTTAGTCCACCCATTGTACAGCGCTACGGAATGTGATGGCGCTATATAAATCATAAAATTATAAGTGGATATACTGCCTGGAGTCTTCTGGCACTCTCTTCAAGTAGTAAACCACTTTTGAGCAGTGTAACAATAAATAAGGGCCCAATGCTTCTGATTGCCTGGCTCCCACTGAACGTATGGCAAAGGCAGAAATTACCCACTTCGTTCTGCTCATTCCAATTCATACCAGGAATAAGTGCCTTGATAGGATAAACTGACACTCTCAGCCAAATCACAGCTGCTCGTTGCCGCTTCCTCATTAGCATAAGCAGCAAAGAAAGGATGGACCAGAGGGGATTCTCCTTTAGCATTAAAAGCGTTAGGAAAACAATTTGACAATGATTAGGTGACCCCTTTATTCCCAACAAAGGTTAAAGCAGTCACAGTGCATGCAGTATGCCTTTAAATATCTTGTAAAGTGACAATCACCTTTTAAGCTCATCACTAATGTGTCTTATACGACACCTCCTATATAGACTGTAAGCTCGTTTGAGCAGGGTCCTCTTCAACCTATCGTTCCTGTAAGTTTTCTTGTAATTGTCCTATTTATAGTTAAATCCCTCCTCTCATAATATTGTAAATCGCTACGGACTCTGTTGGCGCTATATAAATGGCAATAATAATAATAATAATAATAATCACTAAGCAAAAGGAAGAGAGGCACTATAAGGACATACAAATTGTACCATTTGTTTAAAGAAACATGCAGATGCAAGCTCTTATACCATACAGGACATTCAGCTTCAATAATAAATGCATTCAGTAAGCAATAGTTTTAATACTGAATAAAGGCCTTATCAAAACTACCTTGCTTTATCTTGCCATGACAGCCACTAACATGCCATTAAGGATATCAAATCCTGAAACGTCATTATGGTACCATTAAAAGGTCTACATGTTTGCTCTGGTGTTGGTGTGGAACAGTAATTAGAAGCAATCACTGGCATTAAGCCCAGATTGTTGTATGTGGGAAAAATATATGATTAAATAAAGCAAAACAAGGTGATGCTCACTGGAAATGCTCAGTTACGCCTATGGAATTGTTCTAAAAAAGACTATTTTAGACTGCTTTGATAGCAGGCACATCATTTAGAAATTGATACAGTTGGACAATATTGCTGGAAAGCCAAGGAAAATGTAATGCTGAAAAAAAATAAAAATAAATCAAGTTTACATAAATTCTGAGATGTTAAAGTATTAACACGTATGAAGTTATCCTCTAAAGTCTAAATGGCCATGTTCCGAATGGGCAAAAACCTATAGACATAGCAGACAGGCTAACCTTAACTGGGGGAATTATACACATATTGTCAAAGCTCCTAATGGAGATCAAAGGAAAAAAAAGTTAAAGGGACACTATAATCACCAGAACAACTACAGCTTATTGAATTTGTTCTGTGAGTAGAATCATTACCTCCAGGCTTTTTGCTGTAAACACTGTCTTTTCAGAGAAAATGCAGTGTTTACATTACAGCCTAGTGATAACTTCACTGGCCACTCCTCAGATGGCTATTAGAGATCCTTCATGGGTCATGGCTGCCTAAAATGCATCCAAACATTCAGTATCTGCTCTCTCTGCATGCAGACACTGAACTTTCCTCATAGAGATTAATTGATTCAATTCATCTCTATGAGGAGATGCTGATTGGCCAGGGCTGTGTTTGAATCATGCTGGCTCTGCCCCTGATCTGCCTCAGCCAATCCTATTGGGAAGCACTGTGATTGGATCAGGTTACCACTTCTGATGATGTCAGCAGACTGCTTGCTGGTCTGAGGCAGACAGGGCAGAGCCAGCAGCTTCAGGCGTGAATACAAGTAAGATTTTACTCTTTTTAGGGAGGCATGAGAGGGACAGGGTGGCTAGATGGTGGTTTTAACCCCATACGGTCAGAAATACATGTTTGTGTTCCTGACCCTACGGTGCTCCTTTAATACACCCAAATTATTATTTTGGGAATATAGGTCTCAAACTGTGAAACAACTCCCACCAAGCTCATTGCAATTCTGGCTGAGGTTGGTGGGAGGCAACTCAACTCCAGTAAACCTTATCCTCTGGCTGGCTACGCCTGATAAGAACTTTAGTTAATAATAACTTTGTATAGAAAGTTCCTTTTCAATGGACAAAAATTACCCAATAACATAACATGAACGAACACAGCGGTAAAGGGACTCAAAAAGGCACCCAGACTACTTCATTTCAATTAAGTGGTCTGGGTGCATTGCCGCACCTGCCCCCAAACAATTTAACCACGCAGTTGAAAACAATTCCATTCTGCAGGAACTGCAAGGTTTTCATTGCAGGGTTAACTTTCCTCTAGTGACTATCATATTGTATGCATTCACACAAGCCTCCCAATGCATTCCTATGGGAAGGCATTGGATTGGTCAAGATAAATCGATCTCAACCAAAGAGGTGGAGCGGAATGCTGGAGACCAGTGCTGCCTTTTTATCCCTGTACCTGTACTACAACTAGGGCACCAGCATTAGGAATACACATTTTTATTCCTGATTGCTATAGTGTGCCTTTAATAAGCATAACTAAACCTCAATAAAACCACCTATCTCTTTGAAAATCTTAGCCTTGTGATTTGCCCTCAATGCTTCTCTAAGAGAGCTTCCCTTTAAAAACGTGTTTCCTTTCTTTTCTGGGATGGGCTGCTAGAGCTACATTAGACAATGCAAAATACTAACACGTAAATAATTGCAGGACAAAAAGGAAATGGATCTTCAGTAGCTACTGTGCTGGCCTCTACGTATCTTTTAAGGCTTAAAGGAACACTCCAGATCCTTGGAAAATTCCATTTGCTGAAATTTTGTGTGAAGAGTTCATCAATAATTTTCCATTTTACAAAAAAAAAAATCCCGATTTCAATAGAAATTGATATAATAAAGAAAAATATGATTTTATTCTCTGTAGTGGTTATGGTGCTATGCATGATCTGGTACCCACCACCCCAACTTAAGTAGTCAAGCCATTTTATTTTGCATGGTTTCACCGGGCGCCTCTCTGTCTCCCCTACAGCCTCCAGACCAGCCAGAAGCCTGATGTTGCACTGCTTATCTCGTTGGCTGGTAGTGATCAGCTGACACTCTCCACCAACGAGCTGGCGCTGCTCAAGAAAACCAAGAGAAATCTTAACTTTTTTGAGGAGCTTCTGGCTCTCCTGATAGGCAAGTAGTAGTGCCTGGCACACCCCAGGAAATAAGTCAAATCATTCTAAAACAGTTTGACGATACATAAAGGGGTGGGGTGTAAGGACACTCCAAGTACCATAACCACTACAGAGCGATGTAGTGTTATGATGCTCAGAATGCTCCTTTAACTAGGTATTCTATGAAATACAGAATTTTACTTTCTTGTTTACGGAATAAACGCTATACAGAATATTTCCATCTTGTGTACTTTGTGAATGCTTTTACTATTTGTTCAATGTGTGCCATTTAATACTGTCATGCAGCTCTGGAAATCCATAAACAGTTACTTAAAATACTGCAGCAATGTTCACAAAGGGGTAGATTTCATAAAATAGAACAAAATAAATCTAAACCAAGTCTTGGCTATAACAATGTGTAGAATGTTGGACATAAGATGAGAGTACGCATAATAGAATCCCTGTAATTATCATCGGAGACTGGTGACATATGCAGTTGTCAATCGGGAATTCAAATTTACATAAACATTGTCGCATGATCTCCAACTACTAAGGAAATGATTGCTGTAAACATTGCCAAGATATTAGAGGAAATAGGTTTTATTCATATCAGATGTCAGAACTGGGTATTGACAAATAGCATTACTCACAGTGATGTAAATATATATACACATTCGCACAGCAATAAACATACTACACAACTGTTCCACATTTCCAAAGACCGTCGCATATTTGCCCCCTGTGTCTAATTTTTGTATTTTGGTAATTAATAAGTTCTAAAAGTTGCTTTCCATTTATGTCACTGAGGTTCTGAGGATAGAGTATACATGGATTTAGTAGATTACAATATGAGCAATATTGTATATGTAATGCACAGGGAATTGTCTTTATTTATAAACATATGTGCAGTATATGTATAGCATTCCTACCAAGTTTATGGAGTACAGTGGAAGAGTCTTGGTTTCCCAGGCATCCTGAGTTAGTTCCCAAGTGTCTTGCATCGAACTAATCCTGGCAAGCTCAGTGCAAGCAAATCATTAGTTGAGCTGAAACTGCACACAGCGCTCTTAGGGTAACCAACTCATGGGCAGAACACTTTAGAAATGCTCTGCATACGGGCAGTCCTTAAAGGATCACTATAGGGCCAGGAACACAAACATGTATTCCTGACCCTATAGTGTTAAAACCACCATCTAGCCCATAGGCCCCTCATGCCTCCATAAAGATAGATATATATAGAAAAAAAAAAAAATTACTGTATACAAGCTGGAAGCTGTAACTCTGAATGCTGTTAAGACTCAGAAAAACAAGCAGTGTGCTGACATCATCAGAAGTGGTAGCCTGATCCAATCACAATGCTTCCCTATAGGATTGGCTGAGACTGACAAGGAGGCAGATCAGGGGCAGAGCCAGCATGATTCAAACACAGCCCTGGCCAATCAGCATCTCCTCATAGAGATGTATTGAATCAATGAATCTCTATGAGGAAAGTTCAGTGTCTGCATGCAGAGGGAGGAGACACTGAATGTTTGGATGCATTTTAGGCAGCAATGACCCAGGAAGGATCTCTAACAGCTATCTAAGTGAAGTTATCATTAGGCTGTAATGTAAACACTGCATTTTTTCTGAAAAGACAGTGTTTACAGCAAAAAGCCTGAAGGTAATGATTCTACTCACCAGAACAAATTCAATAAGCTGTAGTTGTTCTGGTGACTATAGTGTCCCTTTAATGGCTCGATCAAGCTCATCTTCCCGTTATATTTTTATACGTTCCCACCAGGCTAACACACCCCTTATATTGGCATGTTAGTCCCTTCGTGGTGTCAATGCCTGCTTTGGGGTATGGTAGAGGTAAGTGACCTCTAAAAACCTCAATGTTCACTTTGTATAAGTGAAAAGATTGTAGTAATGGAACAGTAATGGATTTTGAAGAAAAAAAAAAAAAAATCTCCATCTCAGCTAGAGTCACAGCCTGGCTTCTTTAGCCTGAATTTTGCCGTTTGAGTATTAAAGGGTTACTTCAACCAAAACCAATGTTTTTAAAAAGTAGTAATCCTGTGTGAGGTGGTCTGACTCCCCAAAAATAAGGGGAAAGCAAGAGGGTCTTATAAATTTAAAAAAAAAAAAAAAAACCTGTAGTGGAGAATCTCAGTTAGTGCAGCCAACATTGTCTCTGTCTCATGTGAGGTGCAAATCATACCTCCCAACATTTAAAATGGCCAAATAGGGACACTTTAAATCTAAGGTGTGATTAGGGGGATGGTCAGGGACAGGGCCATTCTGAGAAATTTAGGTGACTTACTAATAACATATAAAACTAAAATGTAATTTAGAACAAGACCAATGCATCTTATTTACACAGACTGATTTCTAAACACGTGTATTGTAGTTTAAAGACACATTGCTGCATTTATTAGTGCTGTGGAGATCTGTTATAGACTCAGACACAGCAACAATATGGAACTCCTAGAAACGAGAGACATAAAGAGGTATAGTTGGGATGTATGGGCTAAATGAATGTACTGAATACTGGGTATGAAAAGCTTTCACAATACGTTTACTGGACTGTCCATACTCAAAATGTTCCTGGAATTTATTTTTCCTCAATCGTTAATAACTATGACCCAAGGAGACAAAGTCTAACACACAGATGCATCTAGTGTGCCATTACATGGCATCCACCTGATTCAATATTATTAAAATATACAGGTACAGTATACATTTTGAAGGATATGTAGGACTATGTAAAAAAAAGCAGTGTATCCTTAGCAAGAACATATCTGAAACTATAGTGTGCACATGGAGCTAACATTTAACATGGAACTTTAACCTGCAGACAAGACACTATCTAATATTTACCAGAGGGTCAAAGTTCGCCTGCAGAAATGCTTACAGAACAAATAATCTTAGTTTTGAAAACAAAAAGGGATAATGTATTCAGGTTAATCCACAGAAGTAATCAACTTAAAAAGGCACACTGACTGCAAGCATCACACCTGTGTACTTCATTAAAAGGGTCACTCTGGAATGCAGATGGCCCCTTCCTTTTAACAGTAATCATTAAATAGACAGAGACAGATAGAATACAAACACGATACCCATCTCTGAATATTCCTTGTTGGGTATCTGCAAGGGCCAGGAAAAAACAAAAACCTCTCAGTTAACCCTAGTCTCCCTTTAATGTTTGCCAGTGTGGAAGGAGTATGTACTATATATAGTTCAAGGTTGCAAAATCTGTACTGTTCTAATACACATGCTCTTGAAGTATACTGATAGAGACCAGTAAGAGCATATTACAGGTAAAGAGAAATTGAAAGGAGACACACAGAGACAGAAAGAGGGACAGGCAGTTTATTCATAAAGCTGAGCACTGCAGAGAAATGGAAGGGAATTGGAAATGTAAGTTCAAAAAATCTTAGCTGGAGAAATAGGTGGATAACTTTTGCAATCTGAATCTTTTGGAATTCCCTTGTCAATTCTCTGCAATTCCTAGTTTAGTAAATTTAAACTATACGTTTCTAGTTCTCTGATGTACTGGTATGATCACAACAGACTACACAATACTGTATTGAAGAAAAATCATTGAACCAAGAAAAATACAGTATTGCAGCACATAAAACAGATAGTATGTTTTGTTTTCAAGATAACTTGTTTGGATAGCCATAAGTGCAAGTTGATCTTTAGAATTGGGTAGCAACCTTGAAACTGCCTAACACCGCAAACAGGAACAATCATTAGCAATATACGTATTAGCCATAAAAATCAATAAACAGCTGCTTATATAAACAAACAATGAATTGGTATCTAGGAGATAAGGGTCTGGATATTTGGGAAATGCACTAATTCTAAAAGATTTACAGGTCTATGCTCAATAGTGATCATTAAATGAACACAATACCGACTTTTTAAATTTTTTAAAAACAACTTTTAGATGTCATTTTTATTAATTATATTTTTTGCATCATCTAAACATTTACTTACCTTTATTCCAGGACTTGCAGCAGTCCAATTACAGCATTCCGCACCTTTGAAGTCATCAAGTGTGATGAGATTAGTGCAATACAATACTTCTCATACAGAAGCACTGAGTACCAAAAGTGTATGTGTGGTAATTCGCCACTTCAGTGCTTCTTATAGAGAAGCACACAACACAATGCTTCCGTATAAGAAGCAGTGAATACACACAGCAAGCATGTTCACGAGGGGCGAGAGGACAGCTCAACTCGCCACTCAATTCTTGCACTATACATTACACTTACAGCTGCTCATTCTTGATAAGCAATGAATGCAAGTCCTACATAGTCAGTACGCTACTGATGTCAACAACTCTGGTACTAGCTGGGAAGTATAATTACCGCCTCTCTGAATCAGAGCACTAGAGAGTGTTGCTATCCACCAAACTTCCAAGCCGTAGAATAAAAGAAGTAAAGTGAATTGGAGGCTTGGACAAACGAGCATATTTATGGCACTATAACAACTTCAATAAGAAGATGTTGTTAAAGTGCCTATAGTGTTCCTTCAACTATTTTGCTGCAATTGCCAGCATACATGAGCACGTGTCAGGTGATGTTTTTCCCTTTAAAATTCTCACAGCAGCCACTCCTCCCAAAGTGAGACCATCAGAACTGAAGATCTCTGATCTAATCCAGTGCCTTTCAAACAGACCTATGACACAAACACAGCAATCCCCAAGCTCAACTAATCCTGTGCTTCACTATCAGAAGCACTGGATCAATTGCATCCCCATGAGAAACATTAGCCCTGTTTGGTGTCATCATGCTATGCGTGATGACGACAAACATCAAGACATTTGAAAACTAAAAGGTCTTCAGGAGAAAGTGTTCAGCACACCATGTGCAGCGCTTCTCTCGATGACATTCAATGTGAGTTTCTATCAAATACACAGAACAATACTTACTGGCACCACACAACTTGTTCTACCCCAACTCATTGCTTTTCATCAAACACTTGATTTCAAGGGCTGCAAATCTGTGACTATGGAGAGGTATATTATTCTTCCAAGTATTTCTTAGAAGCAGAGGTTTTTTCCCTAATCAATGGTATTCATCATAAATCTACATAAATTGCTTAAGACAGTAAAGTGATTCAGCTGAGAATTTAACTGTATCCCTAAAATTGAACAAATGTGATACTTTCATAAGTGGGATCTTGAAAAGTCATAAAGGCGAACCTAGTACCACTGATCGAACTACCGTAAAATAAGGGGCAGCAGTTTAATCACAGATAAAAGAAAGTGGGAAATACATTTGTTCTTTACATGTTCTCATTTGTGATTTTAAATAACCAAGCTTACATGCCCATTATTAGGAAAATTACAGTGAAATGCCAGGCATGTTGAGGATAGAGGCATCAAAGCAAATGCCAAGTTAAACACATTGCAACACATACACCTTATTTTATTACTACATATGGGCTCACTCCATTATACTAATGTGCCCATATTGTGAAATTTTATGATCCTTGCTGTCACTCTCCCATAAATCAGTATAATAGGGATCTCAATCTACAGTCTAACGAGACAATAGTGTTTGGGACTGGAACAGGCTCAACTGCCCTAACAGACATGTATAATGCTATACAAATCAGTGTCACTGCAGGTGGGAAATCACACACAAGTATGGGAGAGTGATGATCTCTATATTAACATACATTCATGGCTCTCACATGATCCCATACATAACATAAACAATGGGCTCTTGCATTGTCTCTGGTGCCCTTTCACAGGGCATGCTGCCCTTTAAATGACCTGCCTGCATTCCCCATGCCCTCTCACCAGAAAGCGAGTGGATGATGTGCCTTGATCTATAGCCCCCACCAGGGGTCCCAGGACCAGCCTATTGGACGCGGCCATGCTGCTTGTAGTGTTAGCAGTACTGAGCTCTCCAATGCACGCTGTCTGATCAGCCCGGCTTACATCTAGCCATGCCACACAGGCCGTGACGCGGGAGGGCGCTGCTCCCTAGTAGCCAATCCCAGGCCGGGGGTGTGTCCTGCAGGGACGTCATTGACCTTCCGTCCCACTCATCGAATCTCTAAACCAGCCCACTCAGAATCCGGTGACGTCACGCGGTGAAGGGGAAATCTGGGCAGGATTCTAGAACGTGACAGGGCTAGTTCCTTGTTCCATGCGCATTGGAACCTATTGGGCAATGCCAGGCGCACCGCCAGTCTGATAACCTGCATGCAGACATATATGCTGACAGACTAGGCTGAAAACCAGTGATTGTCAAATGTATAGCAATATATGAAAAGGCTATGAGAGTAATGGTATTAGTCAGAGTCTGGAATGCAAAAGGACACTTACACCATGTAGCCAAGCTCAGTACACATACCTACTAAATGTTCTGGCTTTAGCAGCATTTTACTATATTCGGGGTTTTGCCTTACTGTCCTGCCAGAGACAAATGTTTGAAAGTATGGAAACTCCGATGATTTTTTTCGTATAGGAGGCTATTGTGGACTAAAAAGTTATTTATTTGGATTTCCTGACATTTGGTAATCATAGATGTATTTGCTAAGCCGGAACATGTAATGAAAACCTAATTGCAACATTTTGGCTAAAATAGCTGCAAAATTTAGAGGGTTATGCAATAGACATGGTCTTTACTAAGCCCTGAAATATGGGTCATCCTGCCTATCTGTACACTTGATAAAAGACAACTAATCTTGCATAACTCACTGCTTACTATAGTGTGAGGAACACAAACATATTCCTGACACTATAGCTTTAAAAGCACTATTTAGGACACCAGACGCCCTTTACATTAAAAGGTTGTTTAAATGTACCATTTCCCCAGCACAAAGCTGGTTTCACTGCACCTGGCCCTGCCTCGCTCCTCATCCTTGGCTTAGATGATTAAATTTGATCATCCAATGCTTTCTCATAGGAAAATGCCACACTGCTCTAATCATTATCATTTCCTCATAGAGATGCATTAAATCAATGCATCTCCATGGGAACCGTTCAGTGACTCCATGCAGAGCGTAGATGCACTGAATGACTGCCCCTAGAGTTTTTACTAGGTAGTAATGTAAACACTACCTTTTCTTTGAAGGTAGTGTTTACATTAAAAGGCCTTCAGGGACTGGTTATAGGCATTAGAACAACTACATTAAGCTACACATGCAAGAGCATATTCTAGGATGCATATGCACAACTTTATTCAGCACTGTGCACAAAAACTTCCTCAGCATCTGTGCAAGATTCCTTTTGCCATCCGCACTCCTCAGTGTCTTCCGAAACAATTCCATAGTATACAGACAATGCCAATAGACTTTGTAAGGTTTAATCACTAATCAGTGACTTGCAGTGTTTGTAACTTTTTTGGCCTACTTTCTGCTATTCAGTTTCCCCTGAGTATTCCCTATTTAGTAAATACATTCTTCTAACTGCAGACTTGTGGGTCTTAATGGCTTCTTCTAGCTGGATAGACAAATCATACCTGGCCGTATCTGCACTATCAGAATTCCAAAGAATATAGGCCGTCCAGATACAGTCTAAATAGGATACAAATATATGCTAAAAAACATCACCTGTCTTGTTTTGGGAAAGCCAAGCACGTGAAAAAATGATATTCAAACCTCACAATACAGAAGATAAGTCATGGGATAGATTTAGCTAAGCAAAAATAGGTGCTGTTTTATGGCAAAGTTCAAAATAAAGACCATTATCTATGGAAAACAATATAATGTCTCTCAGGCTATAACACTGCACCAAGAGCAGCACCTGTTTCACCTTGTTTCCTGGGTAATGACTGCACCCTTTTTAGGAGGTGCTCAACAAATAGCTAATTTGGGGAGATTATTACTTTCCAGAGACTCTGTGGCCAGTACATGCGACAATACATAGTGTATGTTGGCCTTTAGACTATTGCTGCTCAGTAAATAAAAGATAGTGTCAGTGTAAATTTAGATCAGCAAGGTATTAAAGACCAGGGCCACCATCAGAAGGGTACATCTGTACGTGACATGGGTCGCCAGGAGGGGGGGGACTAGCGTGCCTGGGCCACATATTCTCAATTTGCATATAGGTCTGGGGGCCTGCAGGTGCATGCACAAGATCTTCAGTTTCTGGCAGCTTATCTCTTCAACTCTCGAGTCACTGGCCGTCAGAGTGCTGGTGCGGCCCCTTTCTTCATTATACAGGTGGCTGGCAGCCTGCACAAACCGGACCACCAGGGAGTGTAATTACAGGTAAAATGTGTGGAATAAAATTATTTTTTTAATTTAAAAAAATGCTTTTAGTCCAGAGATTGCAGCCCCCTATCCTACCCATATATTTGCACACACTGAATCCATCACACAAACACACACACAAACTGCATCTACTCTACACACAATGCATCCGCTCTACACACACTGCAGCCTCTCTTCAAACAGACTTTGAGCTGTGCAAGGGGTCCCACAAATTCTGATAGCAGCCCTGTTAGATACATTAAACGTTGGTTATGAAAGCAGCATTTTTCCATTGGATAATTAGCCTTATATTATTATTGTAAGTTGAAGAATATGACCAAAGAGACATTGTTGGTAATTTTAATCATGGGGCAATCTGAAGGGATATTTATTTTTTGTTTCTGTGGTGATTGTTCCACATTTAGCACACTACCCTATAATGCTCATTACACATATGTCCTGTTCTGATTGTTCCAGCTAATGTGTGACTGGTCCTGTGTTAAGATGAAGCTGAAGTTCATGTTCCATTAATACAGGTTCACATGTTTTAATCACATGGTGATTTGGATAGAACTCAGATATGTACTGTATGCAAGTCTCTTGACAGAAAAGCAATGCCAAAATAAGGTATCCACAGTCATTTATTAGTTTACTTGAAACTTCATTTGTGTTAGATGCCCTCCATAAAAGAATGACAAAGGAATGTCTTGTTTTTCCTAATGTAAGCATTTGGAAATAGTGAACACTTACTTACAGCTAACATAAATTTAAGTACATCCCAAAATAACTGCAAGACTGGACTACATTATTTGCTTCTTCGCATACATTGATATTCTGGTGGGGAAGAAGTCAAAGTTTTTGGAGTTTTTGATTATTTTTTTTTGTTCTTGATATCTGGCTTATTCTATTGAGTGTACTTTCTATCCGTCAGAGAGCCATCAATAAAGGAGGGGGTTACATAACTACTTATTTGGGAGACATAATTTTAACCCCTTAAAGAACAAGGCGTTTTTGATGTTCGAAGTATTTGTGACCAAGGTCTTTTGGCACTTTTGCCATGCATTCATTTCTCTTTATGTGCACCCTATATGAACAACCCTATATGAACACAATACTAAACTCTGTTTTACATTTAAAGGGATTCCACAGTGTAAGGAATACAAATCTGTATTCCTTACATTATAGAGCCCTCTGGTCGCCCCCTCCCTCGGCAGTTAAAAAACCCTTTAGTCACTTACCTGATTCCAGCTCTGATGACCCTATGCGCTGGGTTGGCGCTCCACCTCCTCCATCACGTGAGGGCATTAGGTTCTCTACATAGGAAAGCATTGCATCAATACTGTAGCGGATGGCACTGGGCTGTCCTGAAAATTTCATGTGTTCACTGCATTCGTGTAAACTGCTGGTTTTATATGTGTTTAAATAAAGTGTATTCGTCTGATTGTTCGGTAGAATCATTCGAATAAACTAAGGGAATGAAACTACCGTACAATCAGACCTCCCCTGTGTGAAGTGTGTCTCCAATTACCCGTTGCAACAATGTTGCGAACGGGTAATTAACAAACTACCGAACGGCCCCTCATTCGGTAGACAGAAACAACCGAACGAGGGGATTCATGTGAACCCTACCTGATCTCTGTAGCCTTAGCCGTTTGTGTAAATTATTCCCTTGTACTGGGACCGACCGCAGGGCCCCATCGCATGGAACCCAATTCGGCTGTTCTATCCAGGGCGGTCGGTCTTTTTAGTACCTCCATAAATTTCCCGAACCCCTGGTCCGATCTGGGTGATTTTTGGATATGTTGCTCACCCAGATCAGGGCTACCAGGGGATGTGCCATTTAAAGGGGTACCCCTAGGTTTAGGGGTACATCCAGAAACTGGGGGAATTTGTGTACAGTATAAGGGGATTATGAGTCAGGCTGAGGGGAGGAGATATGTGGGAGGTTACTATTGCCGGATTGGGTACTGTACTAATTGATGAAAATCCCTCCCTTGCATGGGAGCATGCTATATAAGGCATTGTGGAATAAAGCTTTCAGTTCTGCTCCTGATGCTGTGTGTCGTCCAGTCATTGGGATTGCTGTGGGGATACTATTGGATTATTTTGCCTGTTGGAAACCTTGCCTGTGGATTTATCATTTACTTGTTCCTGAGCCTCACTGGGATCATAAGCGGAGATAACCTGGGGAATATTGTATCTCCGCTACAAATACTTTCCGATAGGGATTTTACTGATGCTAGATGTCCTCATGCAGAGCGTCCTCATGCACTTGACTTGTTAAATGGTATTGTATATTTTTTGGCTTCCTTGACCTCGGCTATCCCTTGACCATTCTCTGTCTTTAACGTATAAATCTGGCCATTCCAAGGACCGGTTTATGTTCTATAATTTTCTGTTCTGTCTATGGAGATGTTACATAATTCTGCGTGCTGGACCTCTCTAGCAGTCGTGACACACTGTCATCCTCCCTTAACCCAGCCACACTCATATTAACCTCTCCTAAGCCTGTTGCCCTTATCCCCTCCAATCATACCACAGTTACCTGCCCTCGCTCTTCCATACTCACCCTATTACATTAACCCCTTAATCCTATCATACTCCTCTTCCCTCATACTATGACACTTTCACCAACCCGGTTACACTCATTCTCTTTCACATTAACACCTCCAATCCTGCCACTCATCCTGCCTAACCCTGTCATACTCACATTGTCATATAAATCCCTAATCCTGTCATGCTCACCTTCCTTGTCACACTCCCTCCTTC